CAAACCAACACACAATCTAGGCCACAAAACACAGAACTTGTTTACACATCAATGCAAGCGTTTCAAGATTGTAGCTCTGACAGCAGATTTGTCAGCAGTCAGGAAAGAAAGCCAAATGCCATTGAGCTACATAAATAGAGCACACAAGCAGGGACACGTTGATTATGAAAAAAAGAGGAATCTGGGTTTCAAATCTACAATTATTAGACCCTTGCACAGCAAAGTGAGGGGACTCTACAGAATTATTTTGATTAGTCTCTCCGGATTCCTCTTTCAGAAGGCAATCACTGCGACTTCAGTCTCAATGCCTGACAGCTGCTTTAGAAGTCTTTCTTGAATGAATGTGTAAGTAGCTGTGGCGCCTCATCTTAGTTATGTGGCTTGACATTACTATAAGTGAGTGAGTGAGGTTAGTTTTAAGCTGCTTTTGGTATTATTCCAGCCATATTACCGACACCAGAAATGGGCTTCACACATTGCACACACGTGAGGAATCGAACTCGGGCCTTGTGACGAGCGAACCTTTTAACCACTATGCTACTTCACCGCCCCGTTTACTGAAAATACAACCAAACAAACTGAAGTGGTAACAAAGACACTGAAAGACAAAACCAGCAACATACAGTAAGCGAAGGCCCACTGAACGGTGCACAACATACTGTCCCATACCACACGAAAGATCGTGTACCTATCATACCCTGCTCATTATTCAGTCTACCATTGATAAATATATACATCAAAAACCAAACTGTAGATATTACAGATCAGTTGTCATCACCGAATACTGTCTATTTTATACACCATCAACTATGCAGAAAATGCCGTGATTTATAAACCAGGATTGGTTTGTGTTTACGTGTGTTTCATTCGTGCGTTTCACGAATGTACAGCTGTTAGCACATGAAAAACTAGTAGAAAACATGTAAATTCATGGCATGACGCAGAGTGCATGCAGAACTCTTATAAAAATTAAGACGTAGATATTTAAAGGAAATCAAAAGACTTACAACACCGCAGTAGGAATGCATAAAATGCACTTTGCAGACAAACGCGAAATGTATATTTTAAGATAAAACAGCAAAAATTAGAGAATAGCATAAATGATTAAAAAACCTTTTGGTTTGTGCTGAAAGAATTAAATGGACAAGCGCATTCGAGAAATAATATACAAATCGAAGATTAGTACAGCCAATTTAGTGACTTGTTCTCCGACTCGGATAATGACAGTGAATCACGTGACCAGTATGACACAGAAGTGGGTAATTCTGATCTTTCTGATCTTAATTCAAACATCGTAGAAAATATTCTTGACTCCCTAATTACTAAGGAGGAAATCCTTCATAGTATTACAAACTTATAAGCTAAGAAATCTTCTGGTATAGACTCTACCATCGCGGATCTTTTAAACACTCTACTGATTTATTACTGGCACATTTAGAACTGATATTTAATATCAGTTTGGAAAAGGGATTCTTCCAAAAGTCATGGTCCACATGCTTAATAGGCCTAAATATTGTACATTCACACAGCCTTTATTCTCAGAACAAATGAACTACTACACACGCATGAATAACTGTATTGTACTACAGGCCTGTAGTACTACTCTCAGTATGAAATATAGATTGACTGGTTGAAATACCAGAGTAAAAGTTGTTCTGATATTGGAATGTGTTCACGAATGGTTACATGAGTTGGCACGTTGGTAGTTGGAACAAGACGGAGCATTGTTGCATGAGCTCATGATTAATTAATTAGCATATTACAATCACTATATCGACAGACAAATCACGTTGATGACAGACCGAACCAGGCACACAAATACCGTTTCCTCAGAACGACCGTGTTACGAACCCATTTTGTAAGTGCCTCTCAAACTGGAGATGAGCTTCACAGGGCAACAACGAGTGGTCAGAATGGAACCCTTGTTGTTGGCAATAACTATGAGGCAATTTGCATTTGATTATATTTTCTTATGTTAATATTGTGAAAAAAATTGCAAGAGAAAGTTTCTTTTGCCCATCAGTATATATAAAAGTGCATTCTCAGTTGCGCTGCACTCGAGTCAAGTATTAAGCTATATCTTAACATGGATCAGAACAAAACCTGTTTAGACGAGATTTGGTTAAAGTTGGACCAATCTCAAGCAGAAATTGCTAAATCTGTGGAGGATAGATTGGTGTCGTTTCGTGGCGAAGAATTCATGAAGTTGAAGGCTGCTAACGATATAGTGTGGAAAAAAGAAGGCAACATACTTTCAATTCGGAGACTTAGGATAGTTTGGAGCTGATCAAGTGTGACCTTGAATAGAATAAGTTTGATTACGTTCGATACAGAAGTCTAACTTGATAAGGACTGCTCACACTTCTGACTGGGGATGGGGAACTGTGAAAGATTAGGTTTCTCGAAATTTCGCGGCTGATTCAGACGACGATAATAGGATTTCTGGGGCTGAAAATAAACTGTCCGGAATTGCTAGGCGATGAATGCGCGTTCCACACGGAGTGCCTAACGGTAGATGTGTCTGCTTCATATCATGACAACAAAGTTGCCAGGTTTCATTCAAGATTTCGGAAACCGGGTTCGCGCTGAGTCGATGCATTTACTATGAGCTGGACTGAAGGAAATAACTGGATAGTACCGCCAGTGTATTAAGTGGCCAGGGTGTTACAACATTTGGCTGGAGGCCACTGTAAAGCCACATTGATAGTACCTCAATGTATTCTGCAAACTTTTGGCCTTTATTGTGTCCCGGGTTTCGTGAAGGACATTGTGTACTTACCAACTTGTAAAGAGGCATTTGTGCTTAGGAGACAAGAAAATGGTCTGTTTGCTACAAGCAATTTTGATTTCAAAACGTTGGCGCTTTGTGTACAGGATTGAATTTTGCGTTTACGGATATAATTTTCCACGTGTTTGTCGAGGAGATAGTGTGGCAGTGTCATATTTTACATTTTATTTATTTATTTGTGTAAATACGGTATCATTTTTAAACGGTTTGGTTGTGGTACTTTTATTGGATTAGGTTTTTTATTAGAGTATGTTTGGAATTTGTCTCAAGCTTGATTACCCCAAGCTGGACCTGGGCTCCTATTGTATTATTGTAGGAGAGCAGGGTGTTCTTTGTTCTTAACTCAGGGGCAAGCTATACCTTGATCTCTGATTGGTCAGTTTTATGTTGTATGATTTCTTCTTTACTAACATCAGCACATTTTAGTCAGTCTACCACATACAGCCGCACGAGAAGCATCTTACATATGACGTACATGATATTTTTGACAGACGTCTGATTTCTTCTCTTTGGTCTACAACTTCACTCTTGGGTGAAAACAAAACCAACCATATATATTTGAGAAATAAAGTAGTGGCACAAGTCACAACTCACACCCCAGCAGGCGTTGGTCTTCATTGAACAAAACCACCCCTTACCCTGCTACAATAGTGACGCTGCCGCCGAGTGTGAGATAGCTGGAGATGTGCCGAATGTTTTGTCTCATGCTAGAGCGTCTTCCACGTGTTTGTGGAGGAGATAGTGACGCTGCCGCCGAGTGTGAGATAGCTGGAGATGTGCCGAATGTTTTGTCTCATGCTAGAGCGTCTTCCACGTGTTTGTGGAGGAGATAGTGACGCTGCCGCCGAGTGTGAGATAGCTGGAGATGTGCCGAATGTTTTGTCTCATGCTAGAACGTCTTCCACGTGTTTGTGGAGGAGATAGTGACGCTGCCGCCGAGTGTGAGATAGCTGGAGATGTGCCGAATGTTTTGTCTCATGCAAGAGCGTCTTCCACGTGTTTGTCGAGGAGATATTGACGCTGCCGCCGAGTTTGTACCTTCCTTGCTGCGGGTAACTTTTAGTGATGCATATGAGTACCATTCCCTAATCATAATGATTACTCGTAAAATATCGAAAAACTTGAACACCACAGGACCCACTCTCTGGTTCAGGCCTATTCCACCCCATACCACGATGCTTGCACCTCCTCATGAGTCTCTTTCCATAACACACTGGTCTGAGTAACGCTGGTCACGTCGTCGCCATACTCTTGTTCTGCCATCTGCCGTTGATACGCAGTACGGACTCTCATCTGTGAACAGAACAGTTCTCCATTGCCTGTATCGCCTGTATTGGTGTTCTAGGGCAAACTGTAGACGTTCACGCCGATGACGAGGGGTGAGGATAGGTCCACTGTCAAGACGTCCCGCTGTCAAGACGTCGGCCTACTGTATCAGTACTGATTGGTCTTCCGTGTGTTGCCACTGTCTAACCTGCTGTTTCGGATGCCTGCATGAAGGGATTCTGTACATGCTGTCGCACAACATGGCGGACTTGTTCGTCTTGTGGTCACCCTTGGTCTGCCAGTACGGGGGCGATCATTTGTGGCGTTGGTGGCCCAGAAACGTTGCTGCAGCCTGTAGATGGTCCGAACGTTGACCTGGAAGTGAATGCCAAGGGCATGTGCAGTGTGGCCAGCTTCAAGTCTTCCTAGCGCCTCGTTCCTCTGAGCTGTCGTGAGAAGGGGCATCATGCTGACGTAATGTGAATGTTTCAACCAGGTTTGGGGTGCATTTTATAGGGCTGGTCCTTGTGAACAGCACGTGCATATAATAAACAGGGTTATTGGTTGAAGAGATGGGTTTTCAAGTCGCGGCAGAATGACTAACAGAGTCAACAGATTTGAGAGATGTTTGGAGCCACAACTGAAAAAGCCTGGCTAGCTAACTTTGTCCTGGTGAAGGGTACAGCTCGGGTTGATCAGATGAGTGGAGTCTACGAGCAGGGAGATAGGGAGTGAGGAGGTCCTTCAGATAGGCTGGAGCAGTGTCACAGTGGAGAGCAGATAGTCAGGGTTTTGAAGGATATGCGCTGTTTGATGGGCAGCCAATGCAGGTCTGAGAATTGGAGTGATGTGCTAGTGGAATCTAACCACTAGGCTACCTACCCACCCTGCCCTGCCTTAATACCATGTATCTCAACAGCCCTCCCAGTGAACACAGGAACACAGGTGACACTCAGTGGCTTTATTGCTGAGCTGATGGATGTACAAGTTGCATGAAAGTAAACAACTCGGTTCACTATTATCATGATGTGGTTCTCCAAATAGCACTACACTGCATCTCAAATGTATACTTCAAACTTAAGTAGTACTCTTCATGCAAATAGGACCATGTTTCGTTGATTCATTTCTTGCATAAACAACAACAATGTTCTTTGGTAACAATTACAGCAGAATTCACCCAAATAATTTGAAACATACTGACAGTCCAGGGCCCCGTTTCTCAAAGCTCTCGTAAGCCTAAGATCTTGTAACTTTTCTCTGTAGCATTCGTACCTCCTATATTATAGTATAGGTGATTCGAATCCTACGAGAAAAGTTATGAGATCTTAGGCTTACGAGAGCTTTGTGAAACGAGGCCCAGCTTCATAAAGAGGAACAAAACTTTACCGAAATTTGGTTTGGGGCTCATGTATACGTCAATGGTAATCTTCAATAATAAATCAGTTGACCCAAAATGGCAATGTAAAGCACTGTTCATGGAGTCCAGCCCCTAACCTGTTTGAAGAACTTGCACTGGAGTACATTAGATTTACGAATGAAAAAGCTTCATGATTCTATTGTACAAACATGGGGAGGACCCATGATGAGAGATTCAAATCAGGCTCCGGCCTACTGTACACACGATAATGAAACTGCCTATGTGCTATGTGGATCAATTCTTGCGTGTGCGTTCGAACTGTTCGCTGATCGCCTCAAGGAAGTCCATGGTGTTCAGATAATGCTCAGGCTTGACACTGAAAGACAAAATCAGCAACATACACTGCACATGTCACAAGAAGTATCGGGCACCTGCTATACACGTTCTGCAGCATGGTTATTAAGTCTCCCTATAACTATTACAGTACAGTGGTCATCCATATATTGCATCCACTTAATCATCCGTCAACTTTTAAGTAAATGCCTATCAAACATACTCAAAAGACGCAAGAGAACCTGTGATCCTTTGATAATACAATGCTTCAATCGTCATTGATTACCTACAGTAATAAGAAAGAATCAGGTTGACCGTAACTTCTTTTCAGCAGCATATTACTTCAAAGATGGAAACAGTGATAATTGAAAAACTGTATAAGTGCGCAGCTTCTAAAATACTTTAAAAAAAAAAAAGCGAGTCTGTCTACCCAATCCTGGATGAGCGAGTGAGTATGGTTTGACGCCGCCGCTTTCAGCAATATTCCAGCAACATCACGGCAGGGAACACCAGAAATGGGCTTCACACATTCTTGTTAAAGACTAACTTAACTGATCTTCACAGGGCATTTCTTGGGGATGTTGATTACAGTAAAACTAGATCACACTTGACGAGAACAAATACTTGCAGGCCTACACACAGGTCTCACACTTCACGTTCCCACAAACTACCAACTAGCAAGCAGTGAATAATTCTTGTCAAGCTACCTTAAAGTGTTATTAATCAAATGGTTTCTTTGAAAGATTGGAACAATTGAGATTTGTGCATGTTCAGATGAGGCAAAACTCGATACATATTTCAAGTACCACACACAATGTGACAATACATCCTTACAATTCAATCCTTCAGAGCTTTACAATTTGAAATGTCAACAAAGACAACCGTTTAAACATTTTTGCTCTCAGCCTTCTTCTTGAACCAAAGTGAAACAAGAAACTGTCCATAACGTTTTTTTAAAAGTCCTATCACAGAACATTTTTGCAACAGTTTAAGTTTATAGTTTTCTAATGCCAAACAATTGTTCCAACTGTTCCACAAAAAACAGTAATCATAATTTCGATGCCATCATGAGAACCATGCATTGTGAAATTTAGATTTCTCAGTTTGCAATTTCAGAAAAGATGTCTAAAAAGACAAAACTGCATTTTGAGAGAATTTAAGACTACCACAGAACATTTCAAATATAAACAGCTGAGCCTAAGCTTCAAGATGGTCAGAACAAGCCTGAGAAGTTGCATCTTCATAGGTCAAGTGATTTCTCAGATGTTTTTGCTGGTGGGCTTTTGGTTTTTGCATGTTCCCATCTGGCGCACTGGCAACCATGTTTGAATTCCAATTAAATCGTCTTGCAAAACTTGGTCTGATCTGTCATGACCGATCCTCCAGTTTCTATCGCAACTGGTCTAGACAGGATGGGATTTGATTGTACTCACTTCTTCAGTCCGTGGATGCATCCAGCTAAATCTTTGGTCATCTTTCCGCTGTCGATACACTGGACACATGCCTCCTCCATCTGTTGACAGAACCTGGAACACAGACACCCACAGTTACTCTCAGGTAACTTATCTACCATGAAGAAATATCGTCATTGTTGAAAAGGCATTGAAATTTGATGGATCAGTAAATCAGAGCCTCATTCCTCAAAGCCATCGTAGTGCTACGACTGTCGTAAATCTATGTTAAAGTATGTGAGTTAAGATCGTCTTAGGATTATGATCGCTTTGAGGAACGGGGCCCTGGTCTTGGGCATTCTTGACAAGACAAAAAAAAGTGGGTGAAATGACCAATGCCTAACGATCGTAAATGGCCATGTCACCAAGCCTGATTCATTTGGTTGACATATTTACCAATATCATGTATACTTGGGGGAATATGAGTTAAGGCCAAGTACAAAATTTTATAAATTTATCCAATGTTTTGGTTAATAGTGTTTATTTCATGGCAAGAAAGGAGTGAGTGAGTTTAGTTTTATGCCACACTCAGCAATATTCCAGCTAAATGGCAGCTGTCTGGACCAGACAATCCAGTGATCAACAGCATGAACATCGATCTGCGCAATTGGAAACCGCTGACATGTGTCAACCACGACAGCGAGCCTAAACACCCAATACTGTTAGTCGACTCTTACAAGCATGGGTTACTGAAGATCAATATTCTAACCCGGACCTTCACGGGTATGGAAAGTGAGGAAGAAAGTAGTGCTAACAGGTGAAAGTTGATAAATTACACCTTGTAGAGTCAGTTTGTCAAATCACTTTCAATAATGAGCAATGCAATGGTAACTGAGAATGAACCAGACAATCTAGTGATTGATGTTGTGGGCAACCATCTACAACCAGGGTACAGTGACATGCAATCTACCAAAACAACAACCAGGTTCATTTGGTCATTTCTTACCACCAACATATGCTGATTGGGACCTATTCTCACCCAGAAGCCCCAGTGTACCCCAAATCCCTCAGTGAACCCCAAATCACTACAGTGTCGAAAAAATCCTCCCCAGTACCCCAAATCCCAAGAACACCAGAAAATGGGTACCCGGTGGGATAAGTCATGTCGCTATATATAACCTTCTATCACCTCACATGCTGCTTGTGTTATTTGGGATAATAATTGTTTGCGCTATGAGCATGCTGTCGGTGTGGATTTAGCGCATATAAACAGACTAATTATCATCATAATCTGTTGATTCTCATGACCAAATGCTGTATGTGTTAGCTGTCACGTCAGGACATGTTTACATATACCTCACCTCTGAAGGTCAGCGTTTCCGTCTAGTTTTCCTCTGTGTTCCAACCCTCGTGTCCAGGCAAAGATACTGGCGACAGGGTTGGTGCTTGTGGGGTTGCCCTGGTAACATAAATACACCATTGCATTCAACATCTGCACGATGAAACAAATGAAAGCATACATGGTTTTCTCTTTCAAAGCATATGTGGTTTTCTCTTTCAAAGCATATGTGGTTTTCTCTTTCAAAGCATAAAAGGCAATCCAACAAATGCAACCAACATGAAGTCTCTACATCAATGAGAAGAGAAGAGTGGTACCTTCTGGTGCTCTCTGTAGTGCCTGGTGACAGTGCCATGAGCAGCCTCAGCCTCTATGGTCTTCCCATCAGGGCACACCAACACACTAGTCATCAGTCCCAGGGATCCATAACCTGTATACCAACATAATTTCCAACATGTCAGTTTTCCTTGAGTGAGTGAGTGTTGTTGTTTAACGCCACACAAAGCAATATTCCAGCGATCTGTAAATAATCAAGTCTGGACCATACAATCCAGTGACACACATCATGAGAACTCATCTATGCAGTTGGGATATGATGATGTGTAAACTAGGGGTGAAGTGATACGTACGGTACGTATTGCGGTACAAGGCCTTCGGTTCGGTATATGAGAACTTGCTTCCCAGAAAATAGCGACTGTCTTGCACAGAAATGCATAGATTTTGACAAAATGATTTGATTTATTGACATTTTGGAAAAGGTTTAAAAAGGTTAATAAAATGACGGTACAAAAACCAATGATACCAAATTGTTTGTATTGCAATACGGTATACCCAACAAAGGCAAAATACTGCGGTATACTGTTTCACCCCTTGTGTGATATAAGTCAGTGAGCAAGTGAGCTGGGTTTGAAGCAGCTTTGATAAGTATTCCACCCCATTAATGTTGAGTGGCAGGCAGGGTAACAATAAGCAGGACATGGCCAAGGGATCATACCCAATTTCTGCAATCTGGACAGTCTATCCAATAGGCTATAAAGTCCGAGTGGATCAGCAGACGGCAACTTGACTAAGGGAGGCAATCTGCTTGGCAACTTGGTGACCTGACCAATTGTGCTTTATTCATGAAAAAGCATTGAGAACCTAGCATATTGGCCTATTCACCTACAGCAAATATATCATTACCTGGTACTGAGAAGAATAGACATGAAGTCATTCATACCTACCCTGAGCAACAACATCGGACTGCACATCACCATCATAGTTCTTGCAAGCCCATACAAAGCCTCCATCTGACTTGAGAGCCTGAGCAACCATATCATCAATCAGACGATGCTCATACCAGATTCCAAGCTTCTCAAACTCTGGTTTGTATTTTCTGCAAACAGACAAATATTAGGTCAAGGCAAAGAACAAATAAAATTTAAAAATTAAATTTGTCTGCCTGGGGCAGGGGCACAGAACCCAAGAAATCCACAACCCTTATCACCACTGAAATTTGTTATATGCAAAAGGTTTTTCCTGCTGTTAGAGCAAAGAATGTACAACATACGCTTCATAGATCTCCTCAAAGATGTCCTTAAATCTGCCATCATATCTCTTCAGGATTGTATTTTTGGTGCTCATGTACAGAGGCCATTTCTTCATTATGGCATACTGGAAGCAAGCATGGGCGAATCCTACGATTGACTGAAAAACAAAAATGGTTAGGGAATAATGTCATTAGAACTGTTTTCAAAGATATGAGCACTGCTTATTAGGAGATGTAAAATGCATTTTCACAAATTATCTCCCCTTGGACCAAGATACAATGGGAAAAATCCAATTAATCACATATTTAATTTACAAAGATGGCCAGGATGAACACGTAGATATTAATTTCTTAATATAATCAATTCTGTACCAGTTGTGTTTAGGTGTCCTAGTTGAAGATATAATGTCACCAATATTTACTGCAAATCACAATATGAAAGTTGACTCCCGGCACCAGCTTACCTCGTCAGTATTGTACATGCCCATGATCACACCACCTCCATTCTTGAACTCAAAGGCTGGCAGTCTGGTTTCCTTTCCATCAGTAGTCACAACCAACTCGAACTTGCTGGGCTTCTCAATCACATAGTCTGTTGCTTTGTACTGTCATGGTACATGTGTCAGTTTGAATGTTGATAAACAGACATCAGAAAACTTGAATAGTGTTACCAACACGTAGTTTGAAAATGAACCTTAGAGCACATTTACAAAGTGATATATTCCAGGTACACATCTGAGTGAGTATGGTTTCTACACTGCTTTTAGCAATATTCCAGCAATATTACGATGGAGGACACCAGAAATGGGCTTCACACATTATACCCATGTGGGAAATCGAATCCGGATCTTCAATGTGACGAATGGACGCTTTAACCTTTAGGCTACACCAGCGCCCCTACACATCAATAGACTGAAGAGTAGAAGCAGCCTCCCACCCAATATTCCCAAACCCATACACCCACTATTAGGGATGTTATAACCCATTGAGGGATTGACCTCCAATAGCTTCCAAAATCACTTGCAAGAATATGGCATCCATGTTTTTGCAAACAAGCAATACTTCTTTAACTATTCACTCATTACACTGACCTTCAAAAATACCTTGACATTTGACATATAAGAGTTACAGTAAGATCCTTTGAATTCATCGTATCTGACCACAAAATTTGTTTTTGATTTAAAACATTTTTTTAACCCCTTTCATCATGTGACCCAATTTAGAGATCATCCATTAGTTTCTTATCAATGCATACTTAAGTTATCATATTCACAAATTTTCTGAGTGCCTAGTTCATTCTGTGTTGGGGATTGGGTAGCCTAGTGGTTAAAGCTTTCGCTCGTCACGTCGAAGACCAGCGTTCAATTCCCCACATGGGTACAATGTCTGAAGCCCATTTCTGGTGTCCCCAGCCATGATATTGCTGGAATACTGAAAACTCACTCTCATTCAGTCATTCATTCATTCTGTTACTCTGACCTACATAGTCATCCATACAGAAGTTCAAGGGGTATTTAGGAGGCATAAAGTCTCAGACATCTGTGACACACACACACACAGTGGAGACTGACTGCAACACTTCAGTGGACTCACAATATTCTGTATCCATTTGATAATATTTTAGAGAAGGGATATTGAAAGTGGGTCCTTTGCTTTCACTTTGTAATGTTCCAACCAAATCATGGCTGCCTATAAAAATACAAGGGTTGACATTGCGAGCAACTGTCCATGCTGCAGGCAGGGGCACGGATAATCACAGAGTGGTGTCATTACTCATTGGAAGGGAACATGAAGTCACATGATAATATACCTGATCACCGTGAGCGTGACGGCCAATCACAATGGGGCGGGTCCAGCCCGGCACGAGACGTGGAATGTTCTGGCAGAGAATTGGCTCCCGGAACACTGTACCACCCAGGATGTTCCTGATTGTTCCATTCGGACTGAGCCACATTTTCTTCAACTTGAACTCTACATTTGAAGGTACATAAACATTTATTATACACATGTGCGCACACACAACGCCCTTAGTTTTACGCTGCACTCAGCAATTTTTCAACTATATTACGGTAGTCTGTAAATAATCGAATCTGGACCAGACAATCCACTGATCAACAGCATGAGCATCAATCTATGCAATTGGGATACAATGACATGTGTCAACAAAGTCAGCGAGCCTGACCATCTGATCCTGTTAGTCACCTCTTACGACAAGCATGGGTTACTGAAGATCAATTCTAACCCGGATCTTCACGGGTCTAAAAAAGGATATTTAAAACCACATGCTATAAATATTACAATTTAAACAGTTACTTCTTAAATTTGCATCGAATTTGCATAAATTTGTAATGTGTATGATGTACACATGGAAAAGCCTTAAAGAACGAATGAACTTTGGTTTTTTGTACTCTTTACATATGAAAGACTTGCGGTTGAACACCAAATTCATGCTTAAAAACATTGTTGTTAATGAATACATTAAAATTTATGGTCATAGTTTACGATTCACAGCTTAAAAGACTGCAGCAAACCAGAAATGACGTGATGTGAGGAAATTTGCAGTAAGTTGTATATACAGTGTAACAAGCTAGTCATTTTGCTGATTTCTCGACGTTTTCATTAAGTTAAAAAATCAAAACTACTTACTAGTTGTAGTAAAATATGCATATGATTGATGACCAAAAGGATTTTGCATGACAACTTGTAACATAACGATTTCTTCCTCGGAAGGGAGGTTGTGGTTGAAGTGACAATAATAGTGTAAGTATTATTATATTGACACCCACCTTGCTTCCAAGAGAGAAATTGTTATTTTATAAGCTATGTCATGCAAAATCCTATTGGTCATCAATCAAATACATATTTCACTACCAGTAGAAAGCAGTTTTGATTTTGTTACCCAGAAAACAGACCTAAATAGCATTTATTCTTAGACTGGCGGATGTTCGCGACAGGGCGCCACCATTTTTAAAAATCGTGACGTCACTGGCTAAAGTCTGTTTGAGAATCAATGAGATTATAGTTTGTTTTCATCCAGTTAAAAATCAAAACTTGAAGTTAAATATGAAATCATAATCAAAAGAATTTTGCATGACTGTAACATGCTGTGGGGGTCTGAATTACTTCACTAGCGAATAAATAAGGCCTAGCATTGTTTCTTCATTGAAGTTGAACAGAAAGACTGTTGCTGTCTGAATTACTTCCGGACATGTCAGAGTGAGCTTTGTACCAAATGCCAACCCACTGAATTATCCATATTTAAATCACTTGACATAAATGGTTTAACACCTGATTTAATTGGGGAACAAACACCAGACCTAGCCAACAGGTAACCATTATGACAACAAGCAATTTAGACAGAATCTGTAACTCGGAAGCTAGGCAATGCAGGTGACAAGATTAAATGACAGTAGAAGTAGAAAACATAAAGCTTACATTTTTCAAAACAACTGTCACAATTTCAATTTAGACAAACCTGTAAACAGGATAATTTAACCCACGAAATGTACATAAATTCTACATTGGTCCTCATATCTATTCCTCACATTACGTCACAGAGATGCGTCCCTTTGATTGGTTGAAATTTCGTTTGCGGGGAGAATTGTGCACTGTTGTCAAAAAGGTCGTTTTCAGTTAATTAAATGTCGAAATAAGTAGTTTTAATGACGGGGTTTCATTTATAATGATGCCAAGAAATGATTTATGTTTTTGTACCCCACTAAAGTATATGTGATCTTTAACAGTGCAAAACCACTAACCTTCAACACGAGCCTCGTCGGGTGTAATGGTGGCACACTTGATGCCTACATTGTACTTCCTGATGGCCTCGGCGGAGTCGATGGTAACCTGGTCGTTGGTCTGGTCCCGGTATGGCAGACCCAGATCATAGTACTTGCAGTCAACCTCCAGGTAGGGGAAGATGAGCTGCAACAAAACAGGTGTCCTTTTGCAGGTTACAGGTACTATTTCCCACAGGACTGCACAAGTACAGGTGGAATTTGGCATAGCTCAGTTTGCAAGAAAAAATTCAACAAACAGGCTAATAAATATCACTTGCTTCCAATTTATACCATGTGTATGTCATAGTCAATGCATAAACTAAGGCAGTTTGTAAAATAGCTAAATAAATTCAGTTGCTTTGTAGCATGACTGACTTGGACACTTTACAAATTGACTGAAATAGTCTATTTATTTATTTATTTATTTATTTATTTATTTATTTATCACTAGTGTGTCTGCTATCAGTCTATCACAGAGGATGACTAGATTCGACGGACTATATTTTGATACTTTGATCAGATTTATCGTCGGTTAAAACACTTGTTAGGAGATAAGTCACCAAAGAACTCAAAACAATATTCATCTTCCTACACTAATTGTAATAGAATAACATTAGCGGAAAAACTAGGATATTGGTTACCATGTTCCACTTGTCTTCTTATAACCATGAAACATCTACAAGGATTGTATTTAACCCACATAATTGTGTTGTAAGCTCACAAGAAAAGGATCATGTTTCTTGTTGCATATATTTTCATATACCAATGACAACAAAAAGAACAAACATATTACCATAGCCAATAATACTTCCACCAAATAGCCCTACAAACCCACACCATGGCAGACCAAAACAAGTAAAACCAACCAACCAACAGAAAGAAAAAAGGAAAGAAAGAACTGTGAAGCCCAGATTAAAAACAAATCTTTGAAAACATTATGAGAGAGCACACATTTCTTATCTAATTACTTCAGACAGGGACTGACTGCCAAAATAAGGTAAAGGCCTTCGAGACATTGAAGGCTTTCAACTACAGTGAAGGCCTTTTCAAGGAAGAATTAGACATATTTATTCAATGAATGGATGATAAAACAAGCAGTCCTTCTCATGCCCATTTAGTTAGTATTTATGAATGATTATAATTAACAAAGTCAGTATTATTACAGGTTACACACTGTAACTTGAATGACCTTGGGAAAAAAGCTAACATTGCACATTCAGGGTTACGTGAGACGGTAAATACGGGTATTGACGCAAACAGGGCTTTCACACAGACAAAGCCTTGGATCATGTTACGCCGGTCACATTTACGGTTTTAACCTTGATAGTAGGTCAATGTCAGAGGATCTTGTGACAAGGTAGAAAATAAGACACGGACAATGTGAATTGCGGTCAGGGTAATACTACAAAACAAATAAAACCTTCAGCTAGACATGCTTATCTACCAGTATGTGAAAGTCAAACAAGGTCAAACAGGCTATGTATTATCTCTGATTATTAATAGAGGCCAAAGTTGACATGTGAAACACGTAACCACTTCCTATGACAGGAAGGCAAGAGGCTTCTGCATATAGAAGACAGAGTGTGTATGTTTTAGGACTGCCTTTATAAATTTCTTTGATTTTTTCACGTGCTTGGTACATGGTGTAAAGTAAAAAGACATTCAATATTCAAGCATTGAAATTTCTTGTAGCAGTGTGCAAGTGAGTGAGTTTGGTTTAATACCACTTTTAGCAATATTCCAGCAATATCACAGCGGTGACACCAGAAATGGGCTTCACATATTGTACCAATGTGGGGAGTCGAACCCGGGTCTTTGTTGTGACGGGTGAAAGCTTTAACCACAAGGCTACCCCACCGCCCCTGTAGCAGTGTGTAAATTGCACAGTATAAATAGCATTGGGAAAGTAAAAAATGACAAAATTCCTGTGTCCCTGCTAAAACCCAAGATAATACCCAGGGATATTTTTACAAGAACATGAAGCTTGTGGTAAAAGTATTGTCAGTGAACAGAACTAAATACAAATAATTAATGAAATAGATAGGCATTTGGAAGGGTATTATTTATCGAGGCACACTTTGCAAATTTCAACTGCAGTAAAATACCATTAACATTGACCAAGTTTTACAATCAGTTAAAAGAATATCACTGTCAATAAAATCAGCTCCTGCAGATAACGGTTTGTTGCATATTGCCCTCAGTAAGCGTTGAGAAGTCGTACCGCCTGAGACTGGGTCAGAGTAGCTCTGTAGCTAGCAGCTGTGCTGAATAGCCACAACATCAGTCAACTGCACCTCCCACACAAGCCATCCACACTAGGCATGCTCCTGTATGGGGCAGCCAGTGGTATTTGCATGCACCCATATCAGCTAATCACACAATGGCAAACAACACGTGCCTGGACTGCGGGACTGCACGAGTGAGTGAAAGGGGAAGAAATCGCCAACATTATCTTAGAATTATTCACACATACTGTAGTAGGGAAGCAATAGTGAGTGAGTGAGTGTTTTAAGCTGCTGTTAGAAATGTTCCACAATGATCACAGTTATGGACACCAGAAATGGGCTCCCCAATTGGGGATTCAACCCGGGTCTTCGGCGGGACAAGCAAACGATTTAACCATTAGGCTACCCCGTTGGGGATTTCTGTTACTTGTGATAAGGGAATTTTTCATTAAGTCACAGGGGAAGTTTGGTTGCTTGGCAATGGTTCAAAGTACACAGATGATCTTTGATTGTCCTAACTCGTCACTTCATGTGATGTAATCTGACTGCATTAGTAAATGGTTAAACAGTCAATATGGACAAGTCTTTGGCAAAGATGATTTATGTCCAGGTCTGAGGTTTCTGATCAGACAGTATTGTAGAACTATCAATGGACTCTTTTACAGTGGGCAGCCATACAGGAGTGAGTGAGTGAGTGAGTGAGTGAACATGGTTTTACGCCGGTTTTAGCAATATTCTAGTAATATCATAGTGGGGGACACCAGAAATGGGCTTCACACATTGTACCCATGTGGGCATACAAGAGGAACGATATTTCAAGAGCACAAAATTACCTCACCCTCACCCTGAAAGGCCAGCATTCCATAAACATTTCTGCAGTTGTGTAGGTCTGGGAGAAAAACGCCAATTAAATGGCTATTGTCTGATGTACAGAGTACTGCAAGAAGTGCAAGCACTGCAAACATGCAGCTGCTGTGAGAATTCATTATTCAAATATGAGTGACGACAATCAGACTAAATTTGACATTCATGAAGCTGAGAAGGTGGTTACAACTTTACTTTGTTGGAGCAGAGTCCGCTCACAAAATGGACAGTTTACCGCAGTTAAACAATATCAGTGGTGTGAAAACAGGTCTGGTGTATAAACCTTCGTAATGAACAAAATATTCAATACAATATCCAAGTCCTCCACCAAAGCAAAGTTAAGATCTACTAACTCCCTAGAAACCCCAATCTGAGACAGATATCAGACAATACTGAGATAACACTGAGATAACATTGGGGTAACCTTGGCACAGAACTCACATGCGATCGTAATAACAGCACTGATAAAGGATTGAAATGGCTCAAGGGAACATTTGCCTACCACTGATTATCAACAGGATATTTTTGGCCCTATTTACTGTTTTATCACAAGTCACTTCACTGATTCCGCAGGTGACCAGGAAAACCTGGTACATATTTTATACAAAGCTATGAACATGCCTCTTTTAGGGGTTGAAAATATATGGCAAGTCATTATATTCATAATTTCGGCTTTCCTTAAAACAATTTCCTCCATCTTAAGTTAGGCCTAACACTGACACCAACTAATGAACAGGGTTTTCACAGCGAAGGACAACAGCAATGCAGCAATAATCTGACCAGTCGTTGCACACCTCTCCATCACACTTAACAGCAGGTGAACAATGGCTGATCAGATAAACACTAATTTGGCAGGAACAGAATGTTGTTTCATGTCAGAATGATACAGCTTTAACAAAATATAGCAGCTGCACAAAACAGCATATACAGATCTATATATAATGTCCCATGGTAGTATCGTCTAGACATGAGCAATGTTTGTAAAAGGATATACACCCCTTGATAGTATTAACCTGTATTGGTACATGTATTATAGAAGGCGTTGCTCGGTCAGCTGTAGTATAAGCTTGCCTGTCTGAACATGGCCAGCTGACTTGCAAGGTTCAGGATTAGTCTGGTGAACTATCACAGTACAGACATGTTGTATCACGTTATAGTATGTCTAGCCATACGGTGCAGTATTAACCTCTGATAAATACTACCATAATTCAGGAAGGTTTTGCGACATTTCCTTTCCGAACGATCACTTAAATAATTAGATATATTATATATGAACTATGTAGCAGATTTTTCAAGACAAAAATCAATTTCTACCCCTTAAACTGTCTGGCCTACTGAATTGTGACAAATACTATAAAAGTTTAATATATGACTATTGCTGATCAGGACTGTGGCTGTATCACATTTCAGTATATTAATTTCATGCATCGTGATTATTAGGTATGTGATGCTAAAATGTGAAGCATGACACCATGATCATTACAACTATCGTCCATGACACGCTACAGGAAACCTGATAAGACTAGGCCTAGAAGGTTCTGTCACAGGGGCAAATTCAACATGTCCAGCAAAACAATTAGAAAAGGTTCGATAACTGAATCTGCAATTGCTTGAGAACTTGTGGGCATGCCTTCAGAAAATACTGACGTATGATGTGTAGTCCATCTCACAGTCCCTAAACAGCATTATTTCCCCTACCGCCTCACCCTTCTTGCCATGCAAAAGCCCCAAATGAAACAATTCTAGATTTCCCCAGGTTCATAATCTACCATGTGACTGGGGCTCCTTTTTAATTAATATTTTTTTATTTGTTACTTTTATAATTTACTTGTAATATTCAGGGATTAAGCATAAGTCTATATGAAATCGTTTCATGCCATATCACAGGCGTAACGAGAACTTCTACATCAGTTACATCCAATACATGTTTCTAGTGACATATGGCAACACAAGGTATCGTGTTACGCACATCGTTTGAACGGTATTGCATACTGAGTAAACCAATCAAATGATATGTTGAAGCTTAGTTTTAATCATAATCTACCAGAGCACTCCAGAAGCAGATCTAAACATACCCAAACAACTGTCTTTTCTTTCAGTCACCCATTGTAACCATGGTAACAGCTCTGCGTCATCAAGAGGTGTAAATGCAACAGATGTTCACTCTGTTATAACATATGGTGATGACTATCGCGAATTATCATTTGTGGCCATATTTGATAGTAACACAGTAACAGCTGTTACTGTAAGGTGTTGAAACAATGGGTGGTAAGGCACTACTGAGGGAGGGCTGGGCTGGATGGGGTAAGGTGTTGAAACAATGGGTGGTAAGGCACTACTGAGGGAGGGCTGGGCTGGATGGGGTAAGGTGTTGAAACAATGGGTGGTAAGGCACTACTGAGGGAGGGCTGGGCTGGATGGGGTAAGGTGTTGAAACAATGGGTGGTAAGGCACTACTGAGGGAGGGCTGGGCTGGATGGGGTAAGGTGTTGAAACAATGGGTGGTAAGGCACTACTGAGGGAGGGCTGGGCTGGATGGGGTAAGGTGTTGAAACAATGGGTGGTAAGGCACTACTGAGGGAGGGCTGGGCTGGATGGGGTAAGGTGTTGAAACAATGGGTGGTAAGGCACTACTGAGGGTGGGCTGGGCTGGATGGGGTGAGGTGTTGAAACAATGGGTGGTAAGGCACTACTGAGGGAGGGGGCTGGGCTGGATGGGGTGAGGTGTTGAAACAATGGGTGGTAAGGCACTACTGAGGGAGGGCTGGGCTGGATGGGGTGAGGTGTTGAAACAATGGGTGGTAAGGCACTACTGAGGGAGGGGCTGGGCTGGATGGGGTGAGGTGTTGAAACAATGGGTGGTAAGGCACTACTGAGGGAGGGCTGGGCTGGTTGGGGTGAGGTGTTGAAACAATGGGTGGTAAGGCACTACTGAGGGAGGGCTGGGCTGGATGGGGTGAGGTGTTGAAACAATGGGGGGTAAGGCACTACTGAGGGGAGGGCTGGGCTGGATGGGGTGAGGTGTTGAAACAATGGGTGGTAAGGCACTACTGAGGAAGGGCTGGGCTGGATGGGGTAAGGTGTTGAAACAATGGGGGGTAAGGCACCACTGAGGGAGGGCTGGACTGGATGGGGTAAGGTGTTGAAACAATGGGGGTAAGGCACCACTGAGGAGGGCTGGACTGGATGGGGTAAGGTGTTGAAACAATGGGGGTAAGGCACCACTGAGGGAGGGCTGGACTGGATGGGGTGAGGTGTTGAAACAATGGGGTTAGGGGCACTACTGAGGGAGGGCTGGACTGGATGGGGTGAGGTGTTGAAACAATGGGTGGTAAAGGCACTACTGAGGGAGGGCTGGGCTGGATGGGGTAAGGTGTTGAAACAATGGGTGGTAAGGCACTACTGAGGGAGGGCTGGGCTGGATGGGGTGAGGTGTTGAAACAATGGGGGGTAAGGCACCACTGAGGGAGGGCTGGACTGGATGGGGTAAGGTGTTGAAACAATGGGGGTAAGGCACCACTGAGGGAGGGCTGGACTGGATGGGGTAAGGTGTTGAAACAATGGGGGGTAAGGCACCACTGAGGGAGGGCTGGACTGGTTCAGGTGAGGTGTTGAAACAATGGGGTGAGGGCACTACTGAGGGAGGGCTGGACTGATTCAAGTGATGTGTTGAAACAATGGGGGTAAGGCACTGCTGACAGATGACTGGCCTGGTTGGGGTGAGGTGTTGAAACAATGGGGTGAGGGCACTACTGACAGATGACTGGCCTGGTTGGGGTGAGGTGTTGAAACAATGGGGTGAGGGCACTACTGAGGGAGGGCTGGGCTGGTTGGGGTGAGGTGTTGAAACAATGGGGTGAAAGGCACTACTGACAGAGGGCTGGACTGGTGGTGGTGAATTGTGTTGCAACACAAGGGTGGGGAAACTAACTTATGCAGGACTACTAGTGGCAAGTTGTGTTCAAACAACAAGTCAGGGTTCATACACTTGAAAGTACCCTAAATTCCATGACTTTTCCATGGTTTTTCAAGGCTATTTTTCTGAATTTTCCATGACAGGGAAAGGACCCAGTACTTAAACACGAAATTAAAGGCCACCAAACTTGGAAAGAAAACAAACACCAATCATGTCTTCAGACATATTTAACATGACTTTTTCCATTACATGTTAGTTCTGACACCGCAAGCTGTCAACCATGTGTAAAGTCTGTTTTGGAGTGCCTGCACTTAACACACATATTTATGTTTCAGGGGGTTTATCTTCCGAACTTCTCTTGGTTACATTCATTATATCCATGATTTTCAAATTTTTTCAATCCCTAGTTGCAAGATTTCTGTGTTTTACAGACTTCAAATGACTTCTTTGAGAGGCATTTTAGAAGTTATGAAGATGAAGGAAAACTGATTTGTATGGATAGTCAACTTCTTTCTTGCAATGTCGCACTCATTGCAATAAAGAAGTTGACTATCCATACAAATCAGTTTTCCTTCAAATGACTTGTAATGGCAGCCTCGCCCATATTCGAAATATCGATGTCATTTTCGCAAAGGCAACATTCCGCATTGAACTTACCTCGCGGGCTCCTTATCCATGAATATTTCAACAGCCATGCGGCATTAAAAGTACGACGACCCGGCATAATAACTAAGCAAATCGCCTTTAACTTTTCTCATAAACTGTCAAAACAATTGATCTCGTTTTCCTTCCAGTCGAACAGAATTCCCGCCATTTGCAAATGGAAGTTGTGAAAAGATGGAATGATTTGTGAATGAAATAATATATTGATATTATCTATTTACTCAACGAATTCATAGCTCAATTAAATATTCTGTTGCTTGATAGTTTTTTATCATAAAAACAAAATACAAGTGCAAAACTGTTCCATTTATGACCTTTCACCATCATAAAAACAACCCCAAAACGTTAAAATTAGCCAGCCACATTTTTTATACACCAGAAACTCCACACAGCGCTACCCACACACACTGTTTATATTAAACAATGATGTTCAGAGCTGAACAGAATGCCGGTCGATAGGTTCTTTGCAAGATCTTGTCCTATTTTATTTTAATTTTAAAACGAGAGTGACAAATATTAATTCATGAGTTGACATTTCACATGAACTAAATTTCCATATCTTTTCCCTTTACTTTTTTAATATATGCCCATTTTCCATAGCTTTTCAAGGCCTGGAAATGATACATTAATTTTCCAAAACTTCTCCAGGTTTCCATGACCCGTGCGAACCCTGACAAGTGTGTCCACCTACCCTCTCCTTGATTTTCTCCCAAATGATTCTGGTCATCTCATCTCCATCGAGCTCCACCACAGGGTTGGCCACCTTGATCCGACTGCCGCTGCCATCTGCAGAATAGTGAACCAACACAACACATTAAAAACATAACATGGAACCAAGGATTTGTCTTGGACTCCAAACTAAGTACCCTTGGCTAGGCAAACTGGGAAATGGACTGCACTTGTTCCTAACCAGATTGTTTTACTGTTTATATTTTCTTAAATTCTTGTTTTAATGCCGCTTTAAGCAATATTCCACAATATCACGGCTGGCGACACCAGAAATGGGCTTCACACATTGTACCCATGTGGGGAATCGAAACCTGGTCTTCCGAGTGACAAGCAAACGCTTTAACCACTAGGCTACCCTAAAGGCCTAAATTCTTAGGAATTTTAGAGAACCTTACTGTCATATGCTGTAGACTTATCCTCTGATCAGGTCCAGATGAATTCCTGAGAATTTCCTCTACCAAGATATAGTCAATGACAACAGTACAACCTGGAGTGATTATCTATCAGCAGGCTGTGAATACTTCTATTTAAAGAAAAGAACGTTTGGTCCTAATCAAGATGTGAAGACTATCATTAATTTGTTCACATCAAAAACAGCATCAAAAACCCAATGCTATGTCAGCATGGTCGGTTCTGACAAAATTACTATTTTCACACAAAGTCTATCTCACTTACAATGCTTTTCTTCATGTGTAAGTTTACTGTGTTCAGAGTGAGGAATGTTAACTAACCTGCAACAGGTGCACGTTGACCTAGTTGCACCACACAAAACCAGGTAGCACCCTGGTCTCATATTTCTCCGAGGTGAAACAAATGTAAAACTCATCTAAACAAGAGTCATCAGAAGATGACATATCCCCCCCCCCCACATATTTGAAAGAACAAATCATCTGACAGTTACTTAAAGTCCAGCTTCACTTTTTTTTAAACTAAGTCCAAATCATTTCAATGGAAATCATGAGAAAATATTTTATTCAGAAATCCAAAACTACCAAAAGGCACCAGTACACCACCAGATCTGTATATGTGCCAAGTTTGGTGAAGAAACATTGAACGGTTTTAGAGGTCTGCTCCGGAAAAGAGCACTACCACTAATTATCCCCTGCAACGCGTTTTGGCGGGGGTATTCAAATGGACTCCGTCCGTGCGTGCGTCCGTGCACTTTTGTCTTTTCCGGAGCAGAACTCTAAAACCGTTCACTATTTCTTCCCCAAACTTGGCACATAGATAGATCTGGTGGTGTACTGGTGCCTTTTGGTAGTTTTGGAATTCTGAATAAAATATTTTTGGCGTTTCCATGGCAATAAGTTTGACTTAGACTGAAATTGGTGGTAGAAAATTCTAATTTCTACATACTATGGCCCCAAAAAAACATGTTTTTGTTCTGATAACAAAATGAGGTTAGATAGTCAGGAAATCATTCTTTTATATACTATTTATAGCATGTAAAATGTGCTGTTTTGTCACGAGTTCACGAGTACGGTTTTACACAACTTTTAGCAATATTCCAGTAATATCACTGCGGGGAACACCAGAAATAGGCTTCATATATTGCAGTTTTGTCAATTAATTACAAAGGGAAACATCAGTTGTGAATAAAAGTCTGTAGATTTGAATTTTAACCATGGAGATCACAAAATTTGTTCTATTTAACACTTACATGTGCCAGAAATCAAGGCCTATCTGCTGCTACTACTGCTAGTGTGACATACATTAATGTCAACCCCAAGAAGCGTGACAAATTACACGCAACACATGGACAGGTGATTCAACATCTGAAATAATTCTAAAAAATATGAGATGGTCAAATATTGATGTTTCGTGGACATTTCAGACAAATATGAAGGATTTTGACACGCACTTAACGCATGCATTATGTCCTGGTGAATAAAGTAAGTATAAAGGCTGCAACTAAGCTCCTGAGTTAACGCCAGCAGCTCTTATGACTCTTCTACTTAACCCAATTCCTAGTCCCCTTGAAGCAATAAGACCTCTAATATACATAAACTGACACATACTAGTAGTTTACAACACAATAAATATGCTACACTATCTGTCAGAACCTTGTGAAGGGGATTGTGAAGTTTGAAACTTATAATGTATCTGACTAACATGATATAAAATTCACTTTCAGGGTTTTACACTATGCAGAAACGTACATCCACATGTGTACATCCTTTTTAATTGTGCAACAAATCAAAACAATGATGACAGATAATTATTCTTTATTCAGCACTAAACATTGTTCAAATAACAAGTACAAATCAACAATTTGGCAAGAAAATGTCAGACACACTTTTCCAAAACGTCCGAAACAGTTTGCCTGCCAATTTGATATTTAACTGCAAGTTCTTTTTGAGAAGGCCGAGGAAGAGGATCAAAATCCTGGATAAGATAAATTTTTTAACAAGTCTTAACTCCAAACATGCCCACTTAGCTGATCTAGCCATCATGACACACAAAGTGACTGACGAGTCAATAAAACAAATGCCTATTTATTTACTCTGACACAGGTCACTCACTTAAATACAGATAATGCAATCCCCCAGTGTTTATAAAGCATAACCGCAGTAATTCTACAAGCATTTGATTCACCGTGCAATCACTACTTCCTGATTATCTAGCGTGCCAAGAGGATTAATTAGTGTATTGGATTATTGGTCCTTGATTGGACTGCTCATGTAGGGAATCGAACCTGGGTCTTATTTTATATCTTAACCACTAGGCTACACCACCGCCCCATTAACACCGCCAAGTCACTGCCGACACTGTGTGTGAAGGCCAGCAGTACTTAGCAGGTGTGTGAAAACAATGAGGAGGAGGGTTTGTTTCCTTGTTACCAGCCACAACACAAGAAGTCACAGTCACAGGAAATCAGTGTTAATGAATGGGGATGTTTGGCTCCAGGTGTCAGTCACATTGGAGCCTGGAGCATTAAAAATGAAGGAAATGACGAGAGAAAGCTTTAACCACTGGGCTACCCCACCAGCCCGATACAAATATAGAGGCCTTCAACTATCCGTGGAGAGTGCAATAGATATAGGCTATCTTTGTGAAAACCTGTTATTTACATGATAGTTTATCTGTGCCGGTCATAGATAGTGACCATGTTAGCTATTGTTAACACACCTAACAGGACTTTATCATGCTTATTTGACCTGGATCGGTACACGTCTAAACTACATTCCAGTGATAGAGTACTGAACGTACTGAAAACCAGAAATCATTGTACAAATAGGGTATCGAACCCAGGTGTTCGGGGTGCTGAATCAGCACATCCAACTTCAAGGGTTACTTGGAAGCAGAAACCAGTAATCTAGATTTGTAATCAGAATTGTTTTTACATGATTGGGTTTCTTTGTTTTAAACGTCCCACTCGGCAATATTTAAGCTATATGGCATCCATCTGTAAATTGTCAAGTCAGGGCCAGATAATCCAGTGATCAACAGCATGACCATCAGTCTCAACAATTTGGATATGATGACATGTGTCAACCAAGTCAGCAAGACTACCTGATCCCATTACATGCCACTTACGACAAGAATCGGTTGCTGAAGACCAATTCTAACACAGATCTTTGCAGGTGTTGAATGTTTAGAATCACTTGTTGTGAAAATACCACTGACGATCTTGAGACAGAGTGAGCAAGGGAAAACGTCTGATCTGTTTGTGAAGTCTACCAAATGAGATATACATTGTTTTGCATTAATTACTTGAGAACATTGAAATGTAATACATACATCATACACAGTCATGAATATGTCAGTATCAACATTTCTATTGAGCAACTTATCTCAGCTTTGAAAGCTGTGACAATCTCCGGAAACTGAAGTAAACAGTGACTGAGTTAGATTTTGACAGTATTGTACTTTGTGTTAGCTTTATGTTGAAGTGAGTGAGTGAGTGAGTTTAGTTTTACGCCGCACCCAGCAATATTCCAGCTATATGGCGGCGGTCTGTAAATAATCGAGTCTGGACCAGACAATCCAGTGATCAACAGCATGAGCATCGATCTGCGCAATTGGGAACCGATGACATGTGTCAACCAAGTCAGCGAAACTGACCACCCGATCCCGTTAGTCGCCTCTTACGACAAGATAGTCGCCTTTTTATGGCAAGCACATGGGTTGCTGAAGACCTATTCTACCCCGGATCTTCACGGGTCCTTTATGTTGAAGGAAAGCCTGAAATGATGCAAGTCTACTACTTTGGTGCAACATACCGGGTATTTCCAAACATAAACTTGATTCAACACACTATCATGGTTTTCTAGTAAGCCAAGGGGTGCAACTCTGAACAGCAAATGATAAACGCATGCCCCTGGCGTAAATTGCAATTTCATGGTAACAGATGTGTTGATATCACAATACTTTAATACCATATCATTTTCTGCTGTGGATTTAAAGGTATTTATCAATATTAAAGTCTGCTGAAATGTAGGTGAAGTTGTTTAAATCATAAAAGCATCTTTAAGCAAATGACCTCTAAAATCCAGTACCCGGTCTGCCCACATTAATTCAAACAGTTGCAATCGTATCTCAAAGACCTATGCAGCAAAAAGGATTGACCAAGGAAAACACGATAAAATTCCACGATTTTGATAGAAACATCAAAACGACAGAGCTGTCACTGTCATTCTGAACGAGTAACATAATGCAAGGTAATTAACACGAGTCATGTTGGTGTTTCGTATGCTGCGAAGTCGTATGTCAGCTGCATTTCGGTACGCTATAAAGTAAACTTACAAAGATTACTCTTAATTTCAAGTAACCATTTTATGAAAGTTATAAATAATCACAAGTAAAGACAATGCCAATCCAAGGGCACTTGCAATAAGGGACAAAACGCGAGTGCCCGTTTTCCAATTATCAACAGTGCATCTACTTCGACAAGCGTTCATGTAACTTACAATTTCTTTTCTGTGTAGCGTTCACTGCTACTGGTGTGAGATAATTTTGGACATTTCCACCCAAACGGGCCAGAAGTTTCCCGACCGAAGCTACAGGACTCGCCATTTTCGTTCGTACTTGCTTCCAGAGACACCGGTAATGTCGTACACGTGAGAGTTTGACGTCAGAGAGGGGTGAAGGGGTAATTCATATCGCGCGGGTGTGAATGACGAGTAATACAGATAAATTATGACATTATATACTACTCATTAAATGTTTACCACTATATTTTATTATACAAAAATTATATGTATGGCCATTAATTCAATGAATTAAACATTTTCTTATTCATAAATGGGTCAACACCCCTTTAAAGTTTAGACTGCTCCTATATGTGAACGAGTAACTGCAATGAAACAAAGATAGGGGTGCCACTCAACCCTTTCCGCACTTTTCTTGTTGTTGTTAACATTTTAACTGATGTATTTTATATCTGACATTTCTTACTAATCAATCAATCATGTAAACGACATGTTAATTGCCATAATCAAACCTAGATTGTCGGAATTTATTTATTCATGTTCACATCTTTTAACCCTTATCACCCGCTCAAAGAATAACTTCGCCTGAGAAACCTAGGCACGTGACCTCGATGCGTTCTTTTTATTGGATTAGACAAGAAGTCTATCCGGCGGCAGCCATCATTGCCGTGGTGAGGGACGAGTTCTCTCGGAATTGGTGGAATATTTTGGCCAAATGCGGCACTAAGTATTAAAGTAAGTTTTCAAGCATGGCCAGGGTTAAAGATTATTGTGTATTCTTTAAATTGAGTATAATTTGCAACGAAATAATCGTCAGTTGAATCCGTATGCAGTAACTTAAATAGAGATTGATGACGTTTGTACAATCACATATGCCCGGTGTTTGAAATCAACACATGGGCAGGTGCGCGTGGTGCTTGACATTTGTCTGTTGAGACTGACACCTTGTCATTATATAATATTTGGTATATAAAACACTTTACTTGAATGCTCCCCGTTAGAAATAACTGAGAAATTTGCATTTGATCTTTATGGAGGAAAGAATCATCTGGAGGTCAAGCAAGGACTCCAGAATGAACCTCGCATGCACCTAGAAAATATATTTTATGGCTGGTATTTACGTCTCACGCTCCTTGTTTATGTCTAATATAACGGTTTATAGGATTTTATTTATTCAGTGCATTATTTTTTTATAACAATCCTAATAACGCAGGGACTTGGTTGAATATGCCCAGTCGATGTACGAGAAAAATATTTCAGATGTGCAATAATACACACGCACCTTGCATACATTGTTTGTATTTTAAAGTAGAAACGAGTTTTGTCAGGTTTAAGCCAAACATCGCTAAAAGGGTACACCCGTACCTGACTTTTAAAAAGCATTGCAACATGTGGTACTGTTGGAAAGCAAGTTAAACACACCTTAAGTGCGACATAGATATTAGTAGTCCAGCATATAACTAGACGAGTTGGCACTGTGCTCTATGTAGCCCTTGGCTGGAATACGAGTTTATTCATATGAACTAAGATATTAGTGAAGTTGATATACCATGCTATGGCCAATAAAGCCAATTATTAGCTAGTGTCCGAGAACGTTATGGATCAGTGATCAGCATGGCAATTCAGAAAGAAATCAAATCAGGACATGAACATTGTTATGTTCATTAATGATCTGTTAAAAACTAATTCCTTGTTCCCATTGTTTGTTTGTTGTGGAGGCAACACATTTATTGGGGTGTTACCAGCATTTGATAACTGCTGATCCCGGAGTAAAGTGACCTCGTTTCCTCCCACTTGACTACCAGAGATTCATCAATAGTTGTTAATATCCTGGTTATAATACACAAAATTGGAGTGTTTCAAATATCTTCTTTTCGCCCCCAATGTTTGAGATATTTTAACGTTGCATTCCAGGTAATAATGTTAAACTCTCTTTGATCTTGCTCATGCCTCTGAATATACAATAACTAAGCCAAGAAATCAGTGTGAAAAGAAATGCGCTCATATTTACAATCTAGTATCAAATAATTCTTATATTTCTCAGTCTTGAGGCTGCTGACCTGGCCTAGATAAATTCCTTAACTACAAATAAAATGCACAAGTTTAATCCATTTGATTATCATGACCCTCACATTTGAGGGTTCGTTTTGAAAACTGTTTTTGACAATTTGAGCAGTTTACATTCTAATTATTATGATTATATGTTTGGTTTAAAAATGTTTGAAAGTCTAGCCTGATCCACAAACATCCTCTTAGACATGATTTTACAATTTTACTGATCAGCAGAATACAACAGCAGTCCAATCTTTAATTAATTAATGTTTTGCATATCTTCTTTTGTGAAATGGTTTTGAGTTGTTCTCATGATATATACTCACACACATAAGAAACGCAGTTGTTTTTTTTATCCAAATAGGAAAAAAACTCGGACCCTAAATTGATATGCGTTTTTGGCATATAGTGAAGCCTGATGGTGTTATCAATCATTTTTGTTGCGTTTTCGAAGGCCCAAGCAAAAACATATCAATAGAAGGAATCACCAAAACAATATGGGTATGAACATATGGGTATCATGCACACACTTGTCGTGAAATCCAATATGCACGAATTGCCACCACCATTAGTGGGTATAAGACTGCACAAAAATTAGGTCTACTACTCCTTGTTCAACAATGCCACGCTTAACTCAAATTGAAAGAAACCAGGCTATCAGACGTTCGGAAGCTGGAGTGTCTGTCCAAAATGGTGCCCATCATTTCGACGTAAACATAACCACTATTTACCATCTCCAGGATCGATACAACGCCACAAAGACCACAGATGTCCTTCTTCGGAGCGGTCGTCCAAGGGTCACAAACCCTCGACAAGATCGGCACATTACCCATAAACACCAGCGAGATCCGCTCTTGTCAACCCCTTTACCTTTCGAAAACTTAATGTCTTCAGTCTTAGTAGCCAATGAAATGTCTTCACTCAATCTTTTTGTCTCTTTGACCCTGTTTGCATTTCTTGTGTTTAATATTGAAAATTACATACCGTATATGACCGTCTATAAGCCGAATTTTGAGGACCAAAAAAAGCAGTCTGTAGAAGGGGGTCGTCTTATCCATCGGTTACGCTTTCGTCAAACTTTTTTCCAGGGTAAGAAAACAACATCGTATCACCGCCATCAAACTTTGTCAGTAGAAAAATTTGCAATTAAACATCACTAGACAAGATTATTTACCTTTAAAGTTCTAAGTTGTTTTTGCTGGGCATTGTATTATTTGCAGGGATTAAGATTACCGTGTGTATCTGAGCCGGAAATAGCAATCAGCTGTGCATACGTTTCCCGGCGAACAAGTTCAAACATGCACAATAATATAACGGGACGAATTCTGACGCAGTCTTCAGTAAAATATAATACAGAATACTATTATTTAACCCAAAGAAATATATCCTAGCATTGTGTAATTTTAATTACAGTTTTTATGTAAAATATATATAATCAACACTAAGGTTATACGGACCCTCATGAACGTGGTAAGCAGAAGTTGTACGCACATGGAATGGGGTAAAATACGGAAGCCATTTAAATTCACACATTTTTACCGATGTTACTGTAAACTAGCAGTCAATGGAAAACGAGGCGGTAATCAGTTCGTGATTGTTGGATGGGGTAAAATAAGCAAGCCAGTTTGTTGCTACAATAAATATGATATTTAGAGAAGCAAAATATATTATGCATTTTCTGTCAACTACACTTCGTTTCGATCCGTGAGTAGACACAATATATATGACTGTGAATTCTTTGAATAATGTGGACCAAAGTTATAATTATTGCTAACTGCCAGTTGTCTGTGGTCTGTGTTTGCCGTGATTAGGACCCCATCGCGGGGGGTCGACTTATGCACGAAACATACCATTTTGACACTGATTTTAAGGGTCAAGTTTGGGGGTCGTCTTATCCATGGGGTCGTCTTATAGACGGTAATATACGCTACATATCTGCATTATACTTGACTTGCGTTACTTTTGCGGCGTGAGTATACAAGTGTATTTTCCAGGTGATAACCAGTCATATGACTGCTACACTAAGTTCATGGTTTTCTAAACATGTCTTTCACTAAAGTTTATAATGCAAGTTACATCTGTTTAATACATTATAATGAAAATCTTGGTGAACATGCGTGAACAAATCATTTTGTTCACTTCTTAAGATTCAACTAGAGACGAGATTGCCAGTTTGTTCCTCTGTATATAACTCTGAAAATATAATATTCTTTTGAACATTTGTAATGATTATTTATCAGGTGATCATTCTTTGCCGTTATCTGTGCCATCTTCTGTGATGTGAAGTTTATGTTCACAGGTGCTGGTTGTGCCTAAATATTTCCACACCCGACCGTCACAATGTTGCTTCGGCTCCAACAAGCAATCCACCTGGTAGACAGTGTCGGATCCAACATGCACAAGATCTCCACACGATGCAGTCGGGGATTCAAATCCGCAGCTCGCTTCTACTGCCAGAAGGCAGAGAAGGAGGCGGTACAAATCCCTGGCACCCCATACAAAAATCTAACCATCGGCGTTCCACGGGAGGTTTTCCCTAATGAACGCCGAGTTGCCCTGTCACCTGCAGCAGTGCAGAACTTGATCAAGAAAGGGTTCACAGTCAATATACAGGAGAATGCAGGGGTGGAGGCAAAGTTTCTCAACGAGGACTATGCTTCAGCTGGTGCCAATATTAGTGCAGCTAAGGGTGCATACGAGTCGGACATCGTCTTAAAGGTTCGGGCACCAGAGGCTTCAGAAATAGGTTCATTCAGAGATAATGGAACATTGATCAGTTTCTTGTACCCTGCACAAAATAAAGCTCTTCTAGATGAACTAGCACAAAAGAATCTGACTGTGTTTGCAATGGACTGTGTGCCGCGCATTAGTCGTGCTCAGGTCTTTGATGCACTCAGTTCCATGGCTAATATCGCTGGCTACAAGGCCGTGTTGGAAGCTGCCAACAACTTCGGCAGATTCTTCACAGGTAAACAAACATAGTTTCGACAGGTATGATCGACATGTTCGATGTGTTCAGATTGATTTAATTAAATGATTAATTCTATTTAAAATTCCTTTTTCCTGTTTACATTTCAAAGCTCGCATTCAAATGTCTCAGAATTTTGTTATAAGTATATTGTATTATATGCTCATTTAAAAATTTTACATTTGAAGAAACTGTGGCTTTTAGGACATTTCAATGTACATTAAGAATATTTTTATAAATAAATGAGGTGATGTTTTATTATATTTTGAAAAACTGTAATATTTTATTTCAGGTCAAATTACAGCTGCTGGAAAAGTGCCCCCTGCAAAGGTTTTGGTTATTGGAGGGGGTGTAGCTGGTCTATCAGCTGTTGGAACAGCCAAAAATATGGGAGCCATTGTGAGAGCGTTTGACACACGAGCTGCTGTGAAGGAACAAGTCGAGTCCTTCGGTGCAGAGTTCTTGGAAGTCAATGTGAAGGTATGAACCCGACTACTGTTCAAGATGGTGTCAAAGGGATGGCATTTTTTTCCTTTCAGTTGGTGACATTAAAATTTATAATTTTGCCTTATCCTGACTCATGCTTAATTGCTTGTCTTCTTCCTTCTGCCCTAGCTGCACGGTACCATGTTCTTTCAGCGCACGCTGCAATTATTGCAAGCGTTTATCTAATTGTGCATTTAATAAATACCTTCTTTGCGTCTTGAGACGTGCCGCAGATAGGTCGAGAAGGGTTGATCCAGTCATGGATAATTCAGCTGAGTCCCTCACCAGTCAACTGCTGTCCGACGACCCCCTACCGTCTGGTGTTCCGCTGGAGTTTCCCTCGGAGGAGAGGCGTGGGACAAAGTCCGCCACCTCCAAGAAGAGACCTGCTTCTCCAGACATCCCGTCGTCGCAGTCCAAGTCTCAGAGGTCGTCATCCACCCAGCGCAGACTCCGCACCCCCAGGGCAGCGTCCACCACCAAGGGGAAGTCAGCGCAGACAACCAGAACTTTCTCGGCCGAGATTGTTCCCTTGACAGTAGAGGGTCTGTATGATGATCAGCCGATCATCATCCCTCAAGTTCCTCGCAAGAAACGACCGGTCTCAGCTACGGTGACTTCAGCGCAGATCTCTTCTCAACCTGAGGTATCAACGCTGCCAACAGATGACCGTCCAGTGGGCCCCGTCGCCGTCACCGCAGCAAGGGCAGCGCCAGTACCACCGCAGGCCTTCAACCCGGGCGACTTTATGCAGCAGTTCTCCCAGCAGATCATGGAGCTGATGGAGCAGCGTTACGGCCTGGAAAAGAAGTCACAGCCAGCCCAGGTCCCGAGCCTTCGCGAAGGCTCCAACGCAGACATCATCTCTGAGGGGCCTGCCATCAACGTGACTTCTGCCAGCAGAACTACACTCCTGGACCAGCCTGCGCGAAGGACGACTCAACCATCACCTGCGGAGGACTAGGACGATCAGCATCCGCGAAGGCCATCACGATCTTCACCGGCTTCGGACTCGGACGATCAACGTTCGCGAATGCGTTCGCGAATGCGTTCGCGAAGGAGGAATCGCAAATCCCCGGACTCTGGATTGGACCACCAGCCTTCGCGAAGGACCAGTCGCCAATCCCCAGATGCGGACTCAGATGTTCAGCCTTCGCGAAGGACGTCAGCTACAGTATCCAAGACATCTTCATCTCACAGATCGTCGAGGGATTCACAAGGACCTTCACGAACTCAGTCGCGAGTCTTCCACCCCCAGCTGTTCCTGTACAACCTTCCCAAGTGGGTGGACGTCTACAACTACACTGGCAAAACTGGGGCATACTACAAGATCCATACGTATCCAACATCCTAAGACACGGATATCGCTTTCAACTACGGGCCACTCCACCGCTTACAGTCAACCCTCACAAGTTCGACTTCAAGAGGGGCGGTGGGGTAGCCTAGTGGTTAAAGTGTTGGCTCTTCACGCCGAAGACCCGGGTTCGAATCCCCACATGGGTACAATGTGTGAAGCCCATTTCTGGTGTCCCCTGCCGTGATGTTGCTGGAATATTGCTAAAAGCGGCGTAAAACCAAACTCAGTCAGTCAGTCGACTTCAAGACACATCAGCTAGAGAAGTTTCGAGAGGCCGTCTCATCTCTTCTAACCAAGCGGGCCTTAGAAATCGTGGATCCAGTCAACATCACACCAGGTTTCTTCTCCCCAGTTTTCCTGGTTCCAAAGAAAAACTCCAAAGAAAAGTTCCGAATCATCTACAATATGAGCACGTTCAACAGGATATTATCTACGCAGACCTCCCACGCTCCGCATGATACATCTACCTCAACTACTCCACCTCGTCCGTCCCATGGACTACATGGCCAGCATAGATCTACAGGATGCCTACCTGCATATCCCTATCCATCCCGACTCGAGAAAGTACCTCAGATTTACACTGGACGGGCTACATTACCAATGGAAGGTCCGGCCATTTGGAATATCATCGGCCCCCTGGTTGTTTACAAGAGTGACGAAACCCATAGTCACATATCTACATCATCGAGGGCTACGCAGTGCATTCTACCTCGACGACGGGATTCAAGTAGATCAAGATCCAGAGCGTCTCAGACTACAGTTGAATTTCACCATCAATCTACTCACTCAGCTAGGATGGTTAGTGAATCTACTCAAGTCGGACCTAGAACCTACACAGGACCTGCAGTTTCTAGGCATCAGATTTCTCACAACGCAGAACCGTATCGTCGTGCCAGAGGACCAATGGCTCAAGATTCAACAGACAATCCCTCAAGCCTTACTCTCTCCGTGGCCACTCCGACAGTGGCAGAGTCTGTTGGGTCTCCTTACGTCCGCACAAGACATGACAGCCAGAGGCAGACTACAGCTATGCCCGTTACAGGTCCTCATCAATGCTCATCTCGACGACCTAGAACCCTTCGCCCCCTTCGGTCTCCCGAATTACCTCAGACCTCATCTACTATGGTCGACCAGGAGGTCGAATGTTTGCGAAGGCATCTATTTAGCAGAGCCGGAGTTCAAGACTCATCTATACGTGGACGCATCACTCCAAGGTTGGGGAGCACATCTCGACAACAATGTGGCAGCCGGGATATGGAATCAGAAAGAGAGAGGTCTGCATATCAACATGCTGGAGATGAAAGCAGTTATCAACGCCATATTCCATTGGAGCACCATTCTACAGAATGCGCATCTCATGGAACACACAGACAACTCTACAGTGGCGTTTTACATAAACAAGCAAGGCTCAACAAGATCATTGAACCTACTGGATCTCTGCTTTCAACTGTTTGACCTCATCGGCGATCTGAACATCCACGTAAGAGCATGTCACATTCCAGGAGCCAAGAATGTCTTAGCAGACGCAACTCTCCCGTCCAACTCAACCATCGCCGACGGAATGGATGCTCCATCCAGAGATCTTCACACAGATCATCAAGGAAATAGGAGCTCCGTTAATAGACCTATTCGCCACCTGCTTCAACAATCAGCTAACAGCATTCGTCTCTCCAGTCCCAGATCCACAAGCGTGGGCAACGGACGCTCTCAGCATATCCTGGGAAGGCCTCAACGCGTACGCGTTTCCTCCGCCAGCGCTTCTACCGAGGGTGTTACAGAAAATCAGCCAGACACGGAACCTCCAACTGATTTTGGTCGCGCCCTACTGGCCAGCGAGAATGTGGTTCCCCATTCTCATACGAGAACTCGGACCACCAATACTGCAAATACCAGAGCGGTCGAATCTACTAGTACAGCCTCACACAAAGCAAGCCCACGGCAACCCAAGGGCATTCCAACTACACGTATGGACTGTATCAAGGCATGTTTAAACAAGAGAGTTTACTCAGCCAGAGCGGCGAAAGCAGTCACGCTTGTACGACGACAAGGGGCGCAGCTTTGAGACCTACGCTGCAAAAAAATGGATTTTCAGCTAGAAAAGCAACACATCCTCAAGTGGCGGACTATATTTGTCACCTACGACAAACCAAACCTCTGAAAGGGTCTACACTCTCAACATACCTAGCGGCATTGAGTTCAGTGATCACTATGAGGACGGGTGCAAAGCTAACCAAAGTACCAGAGTTACTGGCCTCTTATAAATTGGAGGACCAAAAACAGAGATTTCAAGCTCCGGCATGAGACCTCAATATCGTTCTCAGACATCTCACAAGTGACGTTTACGAACCACTGGAGACGACATCCTTCGAAATTGTCGGAAATTCATGCTCTAGATTACGAGAGAATGCGCTTTGATGAAAATCAAAACACAGTGCACATGGGACTGCGATGGGATTTTATTGCTAAGAATCAACTGCCAGGTCAGCCGGACAGACAATTCCATGTCCCAGCATTATCCTCCGTACTCGGACAACATGATACGCTTGACTTATCCTTGTGCCCAGTGAGAGCATTGCAAGTTTATCTACATCGATCCAGAATGAGGAGACGCAAGTTTAAACGACTTTTCGTCCCGATATCAACAGTGACACAGACGAAAGTCTCTCGCACTACGATATCAATCTGGATAAGAATTGTCATACTATGAGCCTACAAGGCTGCAGGACTCGATCCTCCAAGAGCCTCCAACCCTCACGAAATTAGAGCGCTGGCGTCAACACTGGCTCTACATGGGAATTGCTCGCTTACCACGATCATGGAGGGCTGTTTCTGGAAATCGGACATGTTACTTGAGAGATATCGCCACCGAGGACGTCTCAGGCATTCACCATTTCGGCCCTCTGGTTGTCGCACAACAGTTGACAGTTCCCCACAGAAGATGAGACGTAGTCTCGCTGTTTTATCACATGACTTATCAAGCCTACACTCAGCAGAATTTTGCTTCAGTCTCAATGCACGTCTCAAGACTAGCATAAGTGATAAACCCAGTACTTGTAAGTTTACTCGTACAGCAAGGGTCGCTTCTCCACATGGAGTCGCTAAATCCACATTGAAATGTTAACACAAAAAGTAGGACCAAAAATTAACAATTGTGGTCCCCCCATCAAAAGGCAGCTGAAAGAACACCATTGCTAACAGCAGCAGAGTTTAGCAGTAAATACAGTGCCATTATGAAGTTCCCGTAGGGGGGTATATATTGATGTAAAATTCACTAAATAAATCCTAAAGTGCTTTTCCCACCACCTATTCCGTCACATTCTACAAGCAATTAAGCATGAGTCAGGATAAGGAAAAATATGTAATTTTCTGAATAAAATTGATATTTTATACTTATCCTGACTCATGAGGTAAGCCCTCCCAACCTCCCCACTAAACACTTTGGATTTCCCTGCAAATTCAAGTGTCGGGCTCATATTCAGGAGAGAGTGAAGCATGTGGGGGAACGGTGGCGCCAGTTCCCGCCAAAACAGGAAGAAGGGATAACTCTTGGTGAGTAGTGATTAGTGATTTTACGTACACTTTATTGAAGGGAGCTTCAATAAGGAAATACAAGTGTTCCACTATGTTCGCAAGAGGAAGAAGACAAGCAATTAAGCATGAGTCAGGATAAGTATAAAATATCAATGTTATTCAGAAAATTACATGATTATTTAAGTTAAAGTCAAAATGTGGAAAATCTAGTCTTTGCTGTTTGATCATGTGTCGGTCAGTGTTTACATGAACGTTAGTTATGTGACTACTTTGTTTCCTTCAACTGCTGATTACAGATCCAGGTGAGCTAAGTAGATATCCAGGTGTGCTACAGTGCCAAGACACAAGTTTTAATTCAGTCCTCATTGTCTGACATTTTTTTCAGGAATCGGGTGAGGGTGGAGGTGGGTATGCCAAAGAAATGTCCAAAGAGTTCATTGAAGCAGAGATGGCACTGTTTGCCAAACAGGCTAAGGAGGTTGACATCATCATCTCCACTGCTCTCATCCCAGGAAAGAAGGCACCAGTTCTCATCAAGAAGGTGCGTACCATCTCTGGAATATATATAGGCTGATGTGATGCTCCTGATTTTTTGCTATAATTGTCTCTGCTGCTGACATTTAGACTGAGATTGCCGAGTAATTCTTCATCCCATGGTTGAAGGTAAGCTGTAGACATGCCCCTCTTTAGCCCAGATGCAAGGATGGCGTCCAATACAAAATAGTCCAACTCAATGTCACCAAGACCCATCATATGCCTTGTCATTCATAGAAAATGTAAACAAGCCAGTATATGTGGTAATGAAAAGCATCTGACAAGTTTGACACCATCAGCCCAATGTACTGACTATTGTCAGTTATGTGTGCACCAATTTGCATTGCTATTATTTATGGTCAGCAGATGGCAGCATGGTGCGTTAACCAGAGGTGTCACTATACACTGAGACCGTGATACCGTATGTATCCATATATGGTGTGATATTCATATCCCAATGTTGACAAATTCTTATATGTGTCAGAGATACAATTTCTTATGAAATAAAAGAAGTTATCCAAAAAAATTGTCCTTGTACTTGTAACTTCTAAAATGCCACTCAAAGAAGCGATTCATATCCCAATGGTGTATTTGAATTTCATAAGTTCATATTATCTCCATTTTTGCAGGTGAATGACAACTCTTGATCATTTGTGTACAAATGTCCGATACAATACTGTATTGCTGCAATTGTTACAGTTACACACAGTGAAGACAGTTTTCTGTAGTAACTGCACATGAATGTTTGTGTTGCAGTACATGGTCGAGTCCATGAAGCCAGGGTCGGTTGTTGTTGACCTGGCTGCTGAAGCTGGAGGCAACATTGAGACAACAGTCCCAGGGGAAATCACCAAGTACAATGATGTGGTGCACATTGGCTACACCGACCTGCCAAGTCGCCTCCCCACGCAGTCTAGCACCCTGTATGCAAACAACATCACCAAGTTTCTCCTGTCTATTGGTGGGTACTCTTCCACAGATTCTTTAGTCCGGGCACATTGGCTGGTGATAGAATGTCCATGGGCCTTGGGTCTGGGTTCAGATCCCAATTGATCCAGGATCTGTCCGCTCTGTCTTAGTCATGGTTATCCAGCTTGTTAACTGTTTTTAAGATGTCATTCTTTTCTTCCACATCTATCATGTTAAGCTTGCATGGCAAAATGGCATCGAAGTACTATTCAACTGACGTGTATCAATATGTCATCACATTGATATATACTACTTAAGGACGGCCTGATTCTTTCACTGCCATAGTTTGTCAGCTTGACCATTTTTAATGTGAAAAAAGTCAACACTCAATTTTTAAAACGTTGCATATATGTATATTCAAATTCAAGCTGTCCCCACAAATATTTCACCAAATCCTATATTACGCCTGGAAACTTGTGGATATGTTGATTCAAGAAACTGTTTTTGGTTCAGAATTGCATCAAACAGCAGTAATTAAATGAGTAGTCCAGTGGCTATGTGTTCAATCATCATGCCAAATGACCAGTTTTCATTATTTGTAAGGAAAACGTGTGAAGGCTGTTTCTGGCGACATGCTGTTACTGGAATGTAGTGTTGGGAATTGGTTGAAATCTCACAATTGATGATTGGTTCGATACCAACGACCAATCATCGAAAAAATTGGTCATGTTTTAGATTTTCCTATTCATGTTGTAGTTGCAGACAAGTATAAAGAAAAAAACATTTGGTTCTCTGTTGTTTTTTGGTTTTATTTAGAAACTGCACAAATTACATTTGCAAATTTCACATCCAGTGGAAAATGATTCAGTTCCAGTGTAACATAAACTTCCCAGATCATTCAAGAAATATTCAGTCATGACTTTTCAGAAAGTGAAGTGAGTTTTCTAAGAATTAAACAACGTCCTAGATATGTTCCATCATCAAGTATTTCAAACTCTATTACAGCGTTTCCAAAATCGTTTGTGTTCGATTATGAGAAAATGTGATCGATTGCTTTGTCGTTTGGCCACTGCGACCAATCTTCGATTATTTCAATTAATCGGAACACCACTACTGGAATGTTGATGAAAGTGGTGTATTATCTGTGTATTGTCAGCCTGTGACATCATTCACTTGACTGGTTACAGGAGAGAAGGATCACTACAACATCAACTTGGAAGATGAGGTCGTCAGAGGCTCCATCATCCTGCAGGAGGTAATTCATGCTGTTAACCGCAACCTTCTGCAGCACACTGTCCAGCATGTAGCTCACATTCACATCTTCAGTTCCCCCATCACGTCTTAAGCTCCACTACACATCCTCACCTCACCTCATGCCTGTAGCTCACATTCACATCTTCAGTTCCCAATACGTCTGAAGCTCCACTACACATCCGTAGCTCAGTGTCATGCCTGTAGCTCACATTCACATCTTCAGTTCCCCATCACGTCTGTAGCTCCCCTACACATCCGTAGCTCACCGTCATGCTTATAGCTTACCTTCACACCTGTAGGTCCCCTTCACACCTGTAGGTCCCTTCACACCTGTAGGTCCCCTTCACATCTGTAGGTCCCCTTCACATCTGTAGGTCCTTGTAGGTCCCTTCACTCACCCCTTCACGCCTGTAGGTCCCTTCACATCTGTAGGTCCCCTTCACATCTGTAGGTCCCCTTCACATCTGTAGGTCCCCTTCACACCTGTAGGTCCCCTTCACGCCTGTAGGTCCCTTCACACCTGTAGGTCCCTTCACATCTGTAGGTCCCCTTCACATCTGTAGCTCACTCTTTACATCTCTCACCTCATGCCTGTCCCTTCACATCTGTAGCTCACTTGTAGGTCACTGTAGGTCCCCTTCACACACATCTGTAGGTAGGTCCCCTTCACACCTGTAGGTCCCCTTCACCTGTAGGTCCCCTTCACACCTGTAGGTCCCTTCACATCTGTAGGTCCCCTTCACATCTGTAGCTCACTTTACATCTCTAGGTCCCCTTCACATCTGTAGGTCCCTTCTGTAGGTCACCCTTCACAGCTCTGTAGGTCCCCTTCACACCTGTAGGTCCCCTTCACATCTGTAACATCTGTAGGTCCCCTTCACACCTGTAGGTCCCCTTCACACCTGTAGGTCCCCTTCACATCTGTAGGTCCTCTTCACATCTGTTACTACATACGTGTTCTTAAACATATTAACTAGACAGCATGGCCAGTTCGTACGCAAACAAATCCCCTTTGAAGCTTTTTCTTGGGTTGTTTTTTGTAAGCGACTCGTACAACCTATTTGACACATTGTCATCAGTTTCCTACTTTTGTTGTGTAGGCCATGGGGTAGCCTAGTGGTTAAAGCGTTTGCTCTTCATGCTGAAGACCTAGGTTCGATTCCCCGCATGAATACAAAGTGTGAAGCCCATTTCTGGTGTCCCCGTCGTGATATTGCTGGAATATTGCTAAAGGCAGCTTAAAACTAAACCGCTCACTCACTCTCCATGTTCTAGAGAAGGTTAGTACTCCTATGGAAATTATTTCGAAAATAGCATTGATATTTTTCAGCACTTTGTTCTGACATTCCTCACATGAAATGGATGTGGTGTTGTAGGGCAAGTTGTTGTGGCCTCCACCACCCCCACCACCACCTTCCCCAGCAGAGGTGGCAGCAGCAACACCGGCAAAGGCAGTCGTGAAGGAACCACCTCCACCACCAAACTACTTCAACAACACTCTCAAAGAATCTCTTATGTACACAACCGGACTGGGAAGTATGATTGGTGAGTGTCTTGTCCACAGCAAGTGGAATGCATGGGCGGCCATTCAGTGAAAATGATAAATCCGTGACAAAATCATCAAAGGACACAATAATAATAATGTTTTGATGGACCCGTGAAGATCCGGGTTAGAATTGGTCTTCAGCAACCCATGCTTGTCATAAGAGCCGTCTTGACGGGATCATGTACGTCAGATGGCATTACAATGTATGTCAGATGTCATTACAATGTACGTCAGATGGCATTACAATTTGCCATGAGATGATCTTGTTCAACTGTACTTGATGCATGCAAGCAAAATGCAACACAACATGAAGGTGCACAACTGTATTGTATGATTAGTTATTGCAGTTTCAGCACATCTGTAGTCTTTGTGCTCAGGGAAAGCTCCCCTGGAGATCCATAGCTTTCAATCACTATCTGTGAAGATCCGGGTTAGAATTGATCTTCAGTAACCCATGCTTGTCATAAGAGGCAACTACTGGGATCAGGTGGTCAGGCTTGCTGACTTGGTTGACATATGTCATTGTATAGATGCTGGATTGTCTGGTCCAGACTCGATTATCTACAGACCGCCGCCATATAGCTGGAATATTGCTGGGCGCTGCGTAAAACTAAACTCACTCACTCTCTGGATGCACTGTTGGATGATGGGAATAACAATTATGTATTGTGCTAAAGTTTTGGAAGAGGTCATCTTGATCCAGAGGGAAGCAATAAGTTATATTTTTCCAGTGGAAGAATTTATGACGGGTGATGAATCCTGATACATCTCCTGATCTGGAGACGTGTAGTCTTTAACTTGTTAGTTGAGGTTTAGGGCAAGTATCCCTGAGAAGATACAAGATATGGTATGCATCTGTCACACTGAAGACTATCTGTATTGTACTGCTATGAACATCAGAGATGACATGGAATACAGTTTTGATAGTTGCAGATTTCATGTTCCTGATAACTTGAGATACAAAATGTGGCATGTCATTTTGTGATGTATCGGTTATATGATCTGTCATCACAGGTTAATGTATGTATCAACATAACCCAACTGTCTCACAGCTTCACCTGACATAATTGTCTTCCAGGTCTCGGTATGGCTTCACCCAACTCGGCTTTCACTCAGATGGTGACTACATTCGGACTGGCAGGAATTGTTGGTATGTAGAAAATTAACACACTGTTTCATGTTTTGATATTTAGGCTTCTACTGTCTGGCGGAAGATGACAGACCTACAGCATGAGACATTGCCATAGAACACTCATATCCAGGTGTTCCGTAATAAAGCTTCTTTATAGTCATAGCTTCAGGTGGAATATCTGTCAAAGTTGCATTCTCATTTCCAAAGTAATGTATTGTTTAATGAGAATAAGTAATTTCTATTTTTAAAATTTGAAAGAAAATGTATTTTCTAATAATCGTTCAACTGTGCAGAACTGTGCAGAATATAGATTTGCAAAGTGGAATGTAGTATCTTCAGGATGCTTAGCTTATTGACCCATGGACCCATTGGACCCATGAAGATCCAGGCTAGAATTGGTCTTCAGCAACCCATGCTTGTCGTAAGAGGCGACTAACGGGATCGGGTGGTCAGGCTCGCTGACATGGTTGACCTGTGTCATCGTATCCCAATTGTGTAGATCAATGCTCATGATGTTGATCATTGGATTGTTTGGTCCAGACTCGATTATTTACAGGCCGCCGCCATATGGCTGGAATATTGCTGAATGCAGCGTTAAACAACAAACCAACCTTGAAATGTGTTGCATCAGCTTTCATATATTTGCTCCCCTAAAGATTTGTAACATCAGTTTACTTTGAAAAACTTTAACTTCTTTATTAACATTTGTTTCAATGTTTGTTTATTCGTTGCTAGGTTACCATACTGTATGGGGCGTGACACCAGCTCTGCACTCACCTCTGATGTCAGTGACTAATGCTGTCTCAGGGACAACAGCTGTGGGGGGGCTTGCTGCTCATGGGGGGTGGCTACATGCCTTCCAACACTGTCCAATCTCTCGCAGCGCTGGCAGCGTTCATCTCCTCCGTCAACATCGGTGGCGGCTTCGTGGTCACTCAGAGGATGCTGGACATGTTCAAGAGGCCAGGTACTCAGGTCATTCAGCATAATCAGTAGTGATGCTTTGTCTGTGTTCTTGGTGTGATATCAATACAAGATGACGACAAGTTATTTATGATTCAATACTATATCATAATCATTCATTATTCTGCTCTATTTTTATATTTAAGTCAATGATAAAGCCTTCATATTATGGATGTCCTATTCTAACAAGAGTTACTTCCCTTGCATTATGTGAAGTCATCGTTGGTATCATCCCATATTATCAGCACATTGTTTATCAAGAACAATGGACTGGTTGTGACAGTTTGGAAGGGAATATCACTCCAATCCTGAAGGATCTACACTGGCTTCCAGTGCAGCACAGGATTACTTTCAAGATCCTCTGCTGAGCCCACCAGTGTCTGTCCGGTGACGCTCCAGGCTACCTACAGGACTTCCTGCCTATCTACTCTCCCCCCTCGATCCCTAAGCTCTGAGTCCAAGCTTCTGTGTCGCATTCCCAACATCAAGACTGAGATATGGCCAGCGCTCCTTCTCATATGCAGCAACATCCGCATTGAACAGCCTCCCAGAATCTCCAAATCTAATGTCGTTCAGACGTCAACAGCTTTGGACTCTGACTGTGCGCTTCGAGCATGCATTAAGCATGGAGTAATGTGCAATACAAGTGGCCTATTATCCCCCGCCGCGCTGCATGTTAAGATTGTCAGCAAGGTATCTCAAGAACGGTTCACTGGATTTTCTTCATAGACTTTCACGACTTCCCTTGAATGCTTCTCAATAAGCAATTTCTTTATTACTAATTTTGACATTCATGTCAAGGTCAAAGTGAGTCTTGAAAATATTTGTACGTTTGAACAACTACAGAGCAAGATATCAAGAGAGGTTGACTGACTGGTCATGTTTTTGTTGACATTTAACCTCATCTTAAACTACGACCCTCACTTTCATTACTTTTTAAGTTTGATTTGATAATTTGCGCTAAATATTTAGTGGTCTTAAAATCTACGATAAAGGGCCAGGCAAAATTGAAAACAGTAGCTTTATGTTCTAATTCTAAGGCGCATAGGATCAGGGCTCTGTAAGTGATAGATTTGTATAGTTTCCGAGAATGTTATAATCGTATGGAAAGTATTCCTCTTTCTTTCTTAGTTTGTATTGTCTTGTATCTCCGGAGATGTGTTAAATGTGCAATTTAGGAAGTTCTTGGGGTTTTTTTGACACTTAAAGAACTATATTTGGTCAGACTTTTCTCATGTGCAAATACTTTTGGAAAATCTCTTAAATTCACCATTTCCACACATAGTATCAGCATAAATACATGTAGTACTGCTGCTCATTACAACATTAACAAGATGTATGTGAATATATTTGATAAGTGTCCACAACATTTGTTAAAAGTTACTCCTTTGAAACTTATGCAAGTCAGGACAAGAAACCCCCTCATTGTGATTTGTGCTTTAGTCTGACACTTACTGATTTCTCTACTTGAAATGTCATCACATCGTGGCTTGTTTCAGATGATCCCCCAGAGTACAACTACCTGTACGGGATCCCCGCTGCGGCTTTCCTGGGGGGATATGGCTACACCGCCTCCACTGGGACATACCCGGACATCCACCAGATGGCATACTTGGCAGCTGGACTCTGCTGTGTAGGCGCACTCACTGGCCTGGCTTCCCAGAAAACTGCCCGCATCGGTCAGTGTTGTAATATCACTATGTCATCAGGGGCAGTGGGGTCAGTGTTGTAATATCACTATGTCATCAGGGGCGGTGGGGTCAGTGTTGTAATATCACTTTGTCATCAGGGGCGGTGGGGTCAGTGTTGTAGCCTTGTGGTTTAAGTATCCGCTTGTCACGCAGAAGATCCAGGTTCATTTCCCTGCATGGGTACAATGTGTGAAGCCCATTTCTGTTGTCAACCACCTTGATATTGCTGGAATATTGCTAAAAGTGGCGTAAAACTAAACTCACTCGCTCTGTATGTTTATGTTAATTTAAATCCAAAATCCAAATGCGCAAGATTTCTTTCAATGTTGGTGATGCAATATCATACCAGTACTGTTATCCAACTAGAAATGAAGTACTCTAAATTGTATGTGCATATTTCATCATTGTTACCTGTGTACAGGTAATGTCCTTGGCATGATTGGCGTGACGTCGGGCATTGCTGCCACCCTGGGGATGTTGAAGCCTGCCCCAGAAACTGTAGCACAGATGGGAGGCTGCATGGGCCTTGGTAAGTCACCTCTCTCCTTCAGGGACCAACTACACAACTTGTCTGGGTTATGTCACACCTCTCCTTCAGGGACCAACTACACAACTTGTCTGGGTTATGTCACACCTCTCCTTCAGGGACCAACTACACAACTTGTCTGGGTTATGTCACACCTCTCCTTCAGGGACCAACTACACAACTTGTCTGGGTTATGTCACACCTCTCCTTCAGGGACCAACTACACAACTTGTCTGGGTTATGTCACACCTCTCCTTCAGGGACCAACTACACAACTTGTCTGGGTTATGTCACACCTCTCCTTCAGGGACCAACTACACAACTTGTCTGGGTTATGTCACACCTCTCCTTCAGGGACCAACTACACAACTTGTCTGGGTTATGTCACACCTCTCCTTCAGGGACCAACTACACAACTTGTCTGGGTTATGTCACACCTCTCCTTCAGGGACCAACTACACAACTTGTCTGGGTTAGCCTAGTGGTTAAGGCATCGGCTCGTCACAAGCCAAAGACCCAAGTTCGATTCCCCACATGGGTACAATTTGTGAAGCCCTTTTCCAGTGTCTTCTGAAGTTCCGAATATTTTTAAAAGTGGCTTAAAACCATACTCACTGACTTACCAACTCGCCAACTTGTCTGAATGAAGGTAGTTTTATCTGCTGTGAAAATGCTTTAAGTCTTCTGATGAAAAATTGCGTAGATTGATGTTCAAGCTGTTCATCACTTGATTGTCTGGTCCAGACTCGATTATTTACAGACTGCTGCCATATAGCTGGAATATTGCTGAGTAAACCCACTCTCGCTCACTCTTCTGATGAAATATACTTGATACATGGATTTTTATGTTGATATAAGCCTTGTTTAATGCAGAGCTCTAGATAAGCTTTTTACAATCTGGGTATTTTACCCATGGTGTCTGTTATAAATGGGTTCTACTGATCTTCAGTGGGTACTCAAAATTTCCAACCCCCACTCTTTTTTTTAAATGTGGGTATTTTCTATGTCCGTAATTTAAAAAATGTTAAAAAAGATAACTATAGCCAGTTGTTTGTACTTCAAACATTAACATGGTTGTTGTTTAAAGGTAAATACCCCAAAAATGTGAAGTTTTAAGTTACTTTATTATTGGACTTGTGCAGTGACTAAATTGAAATACATGTCGGCATGAATGTTATTTTCAACTGGTTAACTGTTTGAACTCTCACAATAATACTGTATAAATGGAAGCAGGTATGGTTAACTTGATGTATCACTTACTAATTGTCATTCAGTGTCACACGTTTTAGCCAATTTAGGAGGTCTGGGCTTGTAATCACAGAAGAGTCTGCCCTTTCTTCTTCTTTTTCTGAGCCAGTGTTTGATTGCAGGATGGGAATCAAATGACTGCAGAGAGGGACCCAGCATACTGATTTTGAGGAGTAAATCCAGTTTTTCAGAACCAAGTGATGCTCTAAACTTATTCTTCAGTCAATTTTGTGTGCTGAAGCTCCGCTCGCATTCAACACTTGTAAGCTGCATACACAGAGCAATGGAAGTCAGCTTGGCTCAGTTCGGCATTGAATCTTTGTGAAGCAGAATGACCCTTTTGCAGAGTTGTTCAGGTAGAGGTTTTGAATGTTCTACTGATCATTCCTCTAAGCCTGGGCCGTTCATCAAGAAGTTTGTCAGGTTGTAGCAGGGGTCCCACCAGTTTAATGTGTTCTTCCAGACCTTGGTGTAGATCCCCTTCTATCACTTTGACCTCCTTCTGTGCACCATAGAGAGCACCAAGATGTGCGACACCATCACCAGACTCCTCTCCAGAGACAGTGTTTACTGTAAGTGGTTCCAGAGCCATACTCATATCTGTGAAAATGGCACTGTCTTCCTCCTTGAATCTGTTCTTGATATTCTTCATGAGGTTCTTCAGGTATTCTGCTCTGAGGGTCTCAAACTGTCCGTTCATTGTTTTAGCAAATAGCAACTTCTCTCCACCTACAAATGCTTCTTCATTCTTTATTTCAATTCTGGTCTTCATTTCCTTCAAGCCTTGCCCATCATGAGCTTTCATGGTATCGACTTTATTGAGTGTCCCTTCAATAAGTGGCCTGAGTTCACTAAAGAGAAGGTTTTTCTTCTGGAGGCTACAGCTTAACACTGCCAACTCTGTGTGGACATCAAGGAGGAAAGCTATTACCAGTGCCACTTTATAGCTAGCAAAGTACGTGTACAAGCCTTCTGCAACTGCATTTTTCTCAGCTGCAAATTTTGACAGTGTTGGTAGGACAGATTCAAAACTTTCAAAAACTGCTCCAACTGCATTTTTCCAGCCTAGCCATCGAATAGAATGTGGTTCCTTGATTGTCAGTTCTGGCTCTTCTAGAAGTGTTTGAATACTTTTAAGAGCAAGTATTCGTCTACTTGATGCAGATATAAAGTTGTAGAGTGAATTGAACTTGTCTCTGAACATAACCATGCATTCAATTTTCTTAATCAAGGTTCAGCCTGTGAGCTACACAGTGGGTCTGGATGCAGAAAGGCGAATACTTGGCTTGCATTTGTTTTCCTACACCTGTGAGCTAAACCATCACAGCAGCAGCGCCCATCAGTTGAGAGAGAAACACATGCCTAACTTTTCAAATTCTGCTGCTACACAGTTAACAGTGGTGTGAGCACAACCATCATCAATAGGATGATTACATAAGAAACTAGTCACAGGCTGTCAAGCTTTCACATATCTGACACATATGCTTAACCTTTCTTCAACAGTCACATCAATGCTTTCATCAAGCATTATTGAAAATAATTCAGATAAATTAATCTCATTGACAAGTGTCTTTGTCAGGACATGGCAAATAGATTTTTGAATCTCGGTTACAGTTGACCAACTCAAGCTCTTGTACTTGACATCCAAACCATTCATTTTCTGTAATGACAACAGACCATTCACCTGTTCAGATGGGCATTCTGATTTGGCAGCAAATAAACAGTATTAAACAAGACGGTGTCATCATTAGAACAAACGTAACCAACATCGTCGCCTAATTCCTCTTGTATTATTTCTGCCCCCTTGTCTCTCTCCATTTTATCAGAAGCATGTTTGTGATCTTCACTGTTGTTATACCTGATCAGGCTCGACATCTGAATACTTGGTGTACCATCACTAGCCCACACACTTGTAAGGGACAAACTTATCTTTGCCGACTGACAATAAGTGCAGCATAGTCTCATTTCATCAGTTTGTTTATTGAAAGATAACCATGGAAACTTCATTTTCCATGCATCCTGAGTTTTTTTTCGAACGTTTATTCCCGTCACGTTTCTTTGCCCCTGCGTGTGTGACAGTGGTGAGCAAATCTGCCAACATTCTATCGACAGCAACCTCCGATTTAAAACAATTTCCAATAAGTTCAGCAATTATTTCTTTTGCTATGGCAGAAGTTTCAAATGATCGATTTCGAACTGTGACAAATGCCGAAATCTTACTTTGAGATGTTTTAGACGACGAATGAACACGCGACTTCCGTGAGGCCATCGTTGATAAACAATGAGTGTCCAGACTTTCTAACAAGACGAGCGATTTCATTGGATGATATTTTGAGCAGAACTAATCAAGACGAGTGTTACATACATAACTAACTGCATTTGCGCGATTGTTTCTTTCTGTAGTTCATAATACGAAGAGCTTCATATTGAAATTCAATCGATAATCTACCCTATCCGATCGTAACATTTGACAGCTACTTTCTGTTACGCACTTTCTTTTTGCCGGTAAGTCAGGGTACGCAGGTTAGCAAATACCCAAAGAGTTTCTGTAATTGCCTTTGCGTATTTGGGACGCTACAGATATATTTCTGTGCATATTTTGGAAATTTAAATGCGTAATTTACGCAGATATGCAGCTTATCTAGACTTCTGTTTAATGACTTCATGGATGAAATGTACATTACGTGTGTTTTGATAGAAATATCTGATTTTACTAAATATGTCTTAATTTGAAGTAGGATCTTTTGCAGTTTTACGTACTGCCTTTACCACATGCTCTTTCCATTTTAATGAGGCTTAATGACATGGTTCTTCTTTTGCTGTTGCAGGTGTCATGATTGGTGCAGTTGCAGCAAAACGTATTGAGGTGACCGACCTACCCCAGATGGTGGCGCTGTTCCACAGCCTGGTGGGCGCTGCTGCCGTCCTCACCTGCTTAGCGGAGTACCTGCAAGAGTATCCCCACTTTGCCACTGACCCGGCTGCAAACGTCATCAAGACCTTCCTCTTTCTGGGGACCTTCATTGGTGGAGTGACCTTCACCGGGTCTCTCATTGCTTTCGGAAAGCTGCAGGGTGAGCACGACCCACAGGACAACATCTCACAGATGTTAATTCTTTCTTAAATCGTACTGACCCAGTAATTTGCCATTGTGAAGCTGCGAACTGCGAAGCTTATTCACATTTATTATACATTTGCCATATTTATGTCATAGTTGCAATCGACCAAAAAATATCACAAGGACTGTTTTAATAGACAATGTTTGTAATTATTTAGCCTTACAATGTTTGGTATGTTTGTTTCATGTTATGTTTATTCTTGCCTCCCAGGAGTCCTCAAGTCCGACCCTCTGCTCCTGCCGGGCCGCAACTTGCTGAACATGACTATGATGGCGGCAACGTCGGCGCCATGGCCTATTACATGGCCAGCCCCAGCAGTGCTGTAGGACTCAGCATGCTCGGCACCACCACAGCGCTCTCCAGCTTGATGGGCATCACTCTCACCGCTGCCATTGGAGGTAATACCACTGACCACCACATGCAGGCTGATGACGTAACACTTCTTACCCATGAAGATCCAATTTAGAATTGATCTTCAGTAACCTATGCTTGTCGTAAAGGGCTATTAATGGAATCAGGTGGTCAGGCTCACTGGCTTGTTGACACATGTCATCGTGTCCCAATTGCGAAGATTGATGCTTATGATGATCACTGGACTGTTTGGTCCAGACTCAATTATTCACAGACTGCTGTCATATTGCTGGAATATTGCTGAGTGTGGCATAAAACTAAACTCACACACCCATACCACTTCTTCAGGCAGAGAGTGATGACACACCACTCTTTACAGACCTGAATAGATACAAGCCATCTCTGTACCACAAACACTTAAGTTCTGTGAATGTAAATTTGAAACATCAAACTGAAACATAAAACTTGAATTTGGTCGATAACCAGCACGGGAGGGAATGAAAATTGCCGTGTTTACACAATGTCGATCACGAAAGCACTTCCAGGGCTGCTATTCCTTTGAAACCTGTTTCCCTGTTTGTTATTACCAGGAGCTGACATGCCAGTGGTGATCACGGTGTTGAACAGCTACTCAGGCTGGGCGCTGTGTGCCGAGGGCTTCATGATGGACAACAATCTCATGACAATCGTTGGTGCCTTGATCGGTTCATCTGGTGCCATCCTCTCCTACATAATGTGCAAGGTCAGTGAGCAGCTTGTCTATGGCCAACAGAAATTGCAGATGACAGCTGTCTGTAGTCTGTTCGGCTCATAGATTGTTGGGTCTGTGACGTAGCCAAGTGGTTAAAGTGTTCTGTTTCCCACATGGTACAATGTGTGAAGCCTTCTTCTGGTGCCCATGCAGTGATACAGCTATAAGCGTCTTAAAACTAAACTGGCTGGCTCATAGATTCACTGATTGTGGTTTGGTATGGGGCCCAGGCAGCTGCGGAGTGCCAGGAACTTACTGTCTTCCTCGTGGGTTAGTTTTTAGGTTTCTTCCTGTCATGCAGTTTTGGGATAAGTTCCGATGACTTGTCTGACTTCAAGCTTACAGCCCCCATCATCTTGGCACCTTGTGATGTAACTTAAATACTGTTCAAAACATTAATCAAAACCCAGTAGTCAGTTAGGTCTTGTTTTCCTCATTTTGCAATTGGAGTTTGAAATGAGCAAATCATCAAACAGGGTTGCCACAAAGTGTTTTTTGCCATTGAGGTTGCAAGGGTTGTTGTCTGAACAAGATAGATTTACGCAGTTCTCTCATGATGGCTACATTTGTCTTGATGGGATGTTAGCTGCTATCATTCTTAAATAGCTCTGGGGTGCTTGATACTTGTCTCGCCATCTCACCTTGTAGATTTGTGGTGTTTCAGGCCATGAACAGGTCTCTACCCAATGTCATCCTGGGTGGCTATGGAACCAGCTCGACTGGCAAAGGCAAACCCATGGAGATCACTGGAACTCACACAGAGGTGAACGTTGACCAGACCGTTGAGATGATCCGAGACTCCAAGAACATCATCATCACACCAGGTTACGGCTTGTGTGTGGCCAAGGCCCAGTACCCCATTGCTGAGATGGTCTCGTTGCTCAAAAAGAAGGGACATAATGTACGCTTCGGCATCCATCCGGTTGCTGGTAAGTTGTATAGTTGGTCATCCACATTGTTTCCAAGATGGACTCAATATTTTGTAAACCACATTGTTCATGGTGAGTTATTGGACATCCTTGTTGTTGACACACACCAAGTTTTGACTGGTCATGGAAGGCCAACTCACATGAGATACTACAGTTGAGTTGCCTTCCTTTGGCACCGGCAGGACTTTATCATTGGTTCTAATTCCCAATTTCTGCCTTAACCCTAACTCAGCGCTGGCATGTTTCACATGATAGTATAAAATCTGTTTCTTCCTTACAAATAACAAGTAGTTTTAGCAATCAGGTGGTTCGGCTTGGTGACTTGTTGCTTTTTGTGTCCATTACCCCAAGAGCAGAACAGAATATTTTCAGATGTGAGAATGATTTCAGTGTAATTATTTTTCTGACTCTGTGTTCAGGGCGTATGCCTGGTCAGCTGAACGTGCTGCTGGCAGAAGCAGGTGTGCCCTATGACATTGTTCTGGAGATGGATGAAATCAACGAAGACTTCAAAGAAACCGACCTGGTGATGGTTATCGGTGCAAACGACACAGTCAACTCAGCGGCTGAGGAGGACCCCAACTCAATCATCGCAGGGATGCCTGTGTTGAGAGTGTGGCTTTCTAAACAGGTTTGTAGCTGCTATTCATCCAGTTTTGACCCAGTGGCTATTCCAGTACAGTAGGGGTGGTGGGGTAGCCTAGTGGTTAAAGCGTTTGCTTGTCACGCTAAAGATCCGGGTTTGATTCCCCACATGGGTACAATGTGTGAAGCCCATTTCTAGTGTCCCCTGTCGTGATATTGCTGGAATATTGCTTAAAGCAGCATAAAACCATACTCGCTCACTCCAATATAATAATACAATAGGCCCCAAAATAACATGTATGTGCCGTAAGAAAGTAATAATTGGATTGGTCAGATGCAGCTGATTGACTAGAAATCTGACCATAACATCTGCTACTGGATTATCGTGTCCAGCCTCTTGTGTCGATATTACTTCTAGCTTGTGCATCAATGTTCCAGCTACTTGACATCAACCTTTAAACAATTAAGTCAGACCCTCCTGTAGTAATGGCCTTAAAATAATATTAAAATTCTTCAGTGTTTCTGATAAATTCTATAACAGAAAAAATTACGAATTCTGTGCATAAAGTGCAACGCGCGTACATTTCTGCAGCAAGTGAACATTTCTGCAAAATAAGTAGCATCCAATACAACAGGAACTGCTGGATCAGACAAATATGTGATTGAAAGGATAAGCAACGATCCACAAGCATCTTAGTCTCCTATTTAATCAACTTTTATGACATTCATGAGGTACTCGGGACCCATTGTACATTAAAACACACAAATCCTATCCATTACTATTGCTTGAAACAGTACTCTATTGTTACGCACCCATCGATTTCCAGGTTAAAATTGGCCTTCAACAGGCTGTTTGTTGAAAGAGGTGACTAACTGGGTGAAGTGGTCACGCTTTCTGCATTAGTTGATGCATGTCGTTTCCCAAGAAGATCCGTGTTAGAATTGGTCCTCAGTAACCCATGCTTGTCATAAGAGGCGACCAACGGGAAAAGGCGGTCAGGCTCACTGACTTGGTTGACACGTGTCATCGTATCCCAGTTGCGTAGATCGATGCTCATGCTGTTGATCACTGGATTGCAGCGTTAAACAACCAGCCAACCAACCGATGAATGTTGTTGTATCCAAAATGCCTGGGTTGACCTCGTGGTGCCAGTGTAATTTATGGACCGCTATCCTACAGCTGGACTTATGCTCTGTGCAGCTGTTAACAACAAAATGTAGTTATTCACACTGTGATCCAAAAGATAGAATATTGGAACAGACGGTAGATGGTTCAATCCCCAGGCTGCTTAGCTACCCCTCAATATTTAAGTATTTAGGGGGGCAGTGGGGTTCGATATCCCACATGTAAAATGTGTGAAGCTCATTTCTGGTGTCCCCCACCATGATGTTGCTGGAATATTGCTAAAAGCGGCATAAAACTAAACTCACTCACTCACTCAGTATTTAAGGGATGAAATTTCTTTCAGAATTGGGTACCTACCCATGTGCTACTGCTGCATGGTATCTGTGTAGACCATGCAGTGAAATGAAATGATCTTAAACAATATTTAGCCCATGTCACCACACTTCAAACAAATGCAATTGAGTTTGTGTCAGCCAAACTGTATTACTTGCCCTGTATTTGATTGGCACTCCTCACATCTCCATGTTCCTTTCCAGGTCGTTGTGATGAAGAGAACCTTGGGTGTGGGATATGCAGCAGTAGATAACCCAATCTTCTTCAAGGAAAACTCAGGCATGTTGCTAGGCGACGCTAAGAAGACCTGTGATGCCCTTCTATCTAAACTGCGTGAAACTTATGAAGAATAATGTAGTCTATAGGTTTCTAACATAATGTACATTTAGAAATAAGCCAATTCATAGTCAAGATTGAGGTAGCTGTCACATTCTCAGGATCTGGTCAAACTCATCTGAAAGATGTACTTTTCCAGATTTTCATAAACATTTTTTACAAATTCCAGGGATCTGATTTTGAGAGGATGTCAGCTGCCCCAAGTAATGAGTTGACTTTCATGACTGAGTGTGAGACTGTTATTTAACACAGTAGTAAATGCTTGGCGAGCGTCTGAGAAATTGTCCTGTGTATTTTATATTTTTCATCTTGACCATGCGATCAAATAAGGGGAAAGCTATTCATAAAGGGCTGGAATCACACTTGTGAGGTACCCAAGAAATTGTTAGAAAACCTAAAAATGATTCGCATTACAATAGCATATATCAGGCATTCCGATCGGGGTTGTAACTTGAGATTGTTTTGTATTGAACATCTCACAAAAAAGTATTTCTTTTGTCAAAATGAGCTTAGTATAATTTTATTGAGAGCTTCTTTTCTTATAAAGCTGGGCTGTTTTATGACTCCAGTGAACCACAAAGTGCTGTGTTTAAAGTGCTAGCACATGACTGTATTTCTTCAGTTGAGTGAGATGATTCGGTGAAAGTCAGTGTGTTACTGGATGAGGTGAATAAAAGTCTAAAACCTCCTCTGTTGTTTTTTATCTGTTGGCAGAACAGTTACAAACACTCAGGCTCCTTAGTTATCCATGAATGTTACTACAATGTGTGGTTCAGTGGATGGACATCCATCACCTACATTTTGAAGACTGAAGGGATTATTTTCCTTATCCTGACTCATGCTAAATGCTTGACTCCTTCCTCTTGCGAATAATAGTGGAACACTTGAAATCCCTTGAAGTTCCCTCCTAAAAAGCGGACGTAAAATCATCACTCACCCACGAGTAGTCTCCCTTGCCTCCTTTGGCGCCTGTTTCAGTCACCTGACCAGCCATGTTTGTCACTCTCTCCTTCGCCCTTGAAGACCACCTCTGTGGTGTAATGGTTAGAGCGTCCGCCCGGAGATGTAAAATGTCCAAAATAGAAAAGGGTATGTGCAGTATAGGCACCCAGGTGCTCTCACAACCGTCCTCAAGGGCGAAGGTGAGGTGAGGTGAAATTGGGTTTTACGTCGTGCTTGAGAATATTTCGCTCAGCCCCACTCAGACACATTATACTGACTCCGAGCCGACCAGTCCTTGTTGTACCCATTAATGCCGAGCACCAGGCAGGGACCAACAAGTACTATATTTTAACGTCTTTTGGTATGATGTGGTCGGGGATCAAACCTGCGACCTTCCGCTCTCTGGGTGGACGCTCTAACCACTACATCACGGAGGTGGTCCTGAAGGAAGGGACGCACGTCTGAAACTAACGATGTCAGACAACATCCCATGTAACACTGAAGATGAATTTTCATCACACGGGATTACAAGATATCAAGGGGACAGTTTAACAGCATTGTCGCAGTTCCTCAGCGAGACATCATTATGGTCAACTTTACAGAACATCTGTATAAGATGACAACTGCAGTAAAGATTATAAAGTTGAAGAATACAGTCACAACAGACAGGGGAACAGTCTGCTTACATCGGTACTACGCGGCGAAGTTTTCAGGCTCTTCCACTCAGCCATCTAAACGTGTTCACTCGTGTAAATCCGGCACAAGCCGAACAGAGAGGTTACAGACAAGGCCGAGTGTTGACGAAGAAATCAACGACTGCACAAGATTCTACAAGGATCATTTACCTGCAACACTGGTGACGTCACATCTGATTGGCCATGAGAGACAACGCCCTCCGCAGAACTCAGTCAAAGTCACGTGCCAGGAAGTCTACATTTGTAAACAACTCTTTCAACATGGGAAAGGCTCCATTTACAGTCCAGTTAGCAGGGTATAGCGTGGTTCGACTGCCTTCACGGGTATAGAGGACTTCCCCTGTCAGCAGATTTAATATTGGTTATCTGGGGACTTACAGCGACAAGCGTTAGACACTTTCTGCTCGCGGCAGCCAGTCATCTATAAATAGACTTCACATCGATGGCAGTCCCAGTACATCATAGATTTTGATGATCTAAAGATGACGAATTAAACATCATCGGTGCACATTGTTGGGATCCTGGTGACAACATCTTTATTACATATTACCGGAAGATTGATGAGACAAGCTTCAAGCCATAATTCCAGAATCGATAATCTCTTTGCTTCCATGACGGACATGGCAAGGGTTCCTAGATCCACTTACCTACATCGTAGGACATGATTGCAGTAGATGGCTAGTAATCTCCTAATCGGAGTTGGAACCACAACAGGATGTTCTATTTCTGGGAATATGGCTCATCACTCCACAGAATCTCACAGTCGTCCCATAGGATCGTTGGGTCAAGATACAAGCCAGGGTATCTCAAGCAATACTCTCTCCGTTGACACTACGAACTTGACAATGTCTTCTCAGTCTACTGACCTCAGCTCAAGACATGACCCGCAGAGGGAGGTTACAGTTGCACCCACTACAAGATTTGTGAACGCCCATCTCGACAGTATGGACCTGTTTGTACTACCGGACAACCTGAAGCCATATCTCTTGTGGTGGACTCAGAAGTTGAATATTTGCGGAGGAACCTATTTAACAGAGCCGGCCTGCAACACTCATCTTTACATGGATGCGTCGCTACAGGGATGGGGTGCTCACCTCGACAACGAAGTGGCAGCAGGAAAGTGATCGAGCCAGGATCAACTTCTTCACATCAACCTATTGGAGATGAAAGCAGTGATCAACGTTTTACAACACTGGTCGAGCATACTGAGGAACGCAATGCTCACGGTCCACACAGACAACTCCACAGTGGCGGTCTACATCAACAAGGATCAATAAGTCTGTTAAAGCTCAGCTTTCTCCTGTTCAGCATCGTCGACGACCTGAACATCTACATCTTGTCATAAGAGGCGACTAACACTAACAGGATCGGGTGGTCAGGCTCACTGACTTGGTGGAAACATGTCATCGTATCCCAGTTGCATAGGTCGATGCTCATGCTGGTGCAGTGGTGGTCCTGTGGGTGAAGACCCATCAAACCGCTTAGCAGTGTGTCTTGAACAGCTGGATATATGAAAGAAAAACGTTTAGATATTACACTCATTCATTATCCCTTACGGTATGCGCAAGTATCAGACATTTATTACCCATAAGTTTGGATTAAATGCCATATGTTCTGGTACATATAACCCCATCTTTGTAGGGGGACTGTATTCAGCAGCGTTCGTCCGTCCCGATTCTTGTTAACGTGATATCTCATGCACTGTTGTACCCAATGTCTTCACATTTGGTGACAGCCTACATTGGGGGATTACGCAGACACCAGTCGATTTGGGTGACCTTGACCTTATTTTCAAGGTCACCACGACGCTTTGACCACTTTTTAACTCATGTAACAGCGATATCTCATAAAACATTGCACCCAATGTCTTCAATTTTGTCGACAGCCTATATTGGGTGATTATGCAAACACCAGTCATTTCAGGCATATCTTGTGTGACCAAAAAATAAAAAGTAGTCAATATGTTATAAATATTTCATTCTTCTTTAGCCGCGGGGTACATTGCCTCATTAGTGGCAAACACTTGTTATCCCCCGCAACGCGTTTTGCGGGGGGTATTAAAATGGACTCCGTCCGTCCGTCCGTCCGTGCACATTTAACTTTTCCGGAGCAGAACTCTAAAACCGTTCACTATTTCTTCACCAAACTTGGCACATAGATAGATCTGGTGGTGTACTGGTGCCTTTTGGTAGTTTTGGAATTCTGAATAAAATATTTTTGGCGTTTCCGTGGGAACAAGTTTTGACTTAGCCTGAAATTGGTGGTAGTACACTTTTCCGAAGCTGAACTCTAAAACCGTTCACTATTTCTTCACCAAACTTGGCACATAGATAGATCTGGTGGTGTACTGGTGCCTTTTGGTAGTTTTGGAATTCTGAATAAAATATTTTTGGCGTTTCCATGGCAACAAGTTTGACATAGACTGAAATTGGTGATAGTGCTCCTTTCTCGAGCAGAACTTAAAACCTTTCAATACTCTCCTTACACTTTTTTATATACATACCTAAATATTTGACATAATCATAACTCGTAGACATAATCATGAAGAGTATTTTGCCATTGCGGGGGATATTGATGACTTTGTCTTCTAGTAATTATTTAAACAGAAGTGACAAAACCCTTTCCACAGTCAATTGTACAATTATAACTATACTATAAGCATATATTTGTTCCAGCAGTACTACAGCCATACGATGTTGTCTGAACCAGACAAGACAAACGAAATTGAAATTGATTCCAAGCCCAGCCATGTCTTAAGGGTCAGTCTTCATGGTTGATGGAGATCTGCCCGAGAGTGGAAGGTCAGGGGTTTGATCCACAGCAAATCATACAAGAGATTAAAATATGGAACTTGGTGCTCGGCATTTGGGATAAAAAGAACTGTTCGGAGTCCGGATACTGTGAGTTTAAAACCATGTTTAAAAGAGGCATGGTATCTCGGTTGGCAAGCACTACACAATCGATGCAAGTCGTACCAGTACAAGCATGCAAGTGCAAAAAAGAGAGAAGAAAATCACAATCCCGAAACATGTTCCACCTCCGCTTGATAGGCTAAGGAACTTATTTCCTCCTTGAGATTTTTTAATTTATGAAACGTTTTTCAACTTTCACTTTTACATGGCACAGTCAGTGAGGTGGAACATCAAGGTCATGATACAAATCCCACGAGAGAGCCAACCAATTTATTACAAGTTTATACCTTTGCTTTGATGAAGCCTGGATTTGTATTATGATATGATGTACTTTGCTTGATGACTGGTATATGCCGCCTTTGATCGTAGCACGTGCACATCTAAAATGTGGATTGAAGCGTCAAAATAATCCTACAATCAATTATGATATGACAATGATTAACTGTATGAACCCGTGAAGATCCGGGTTAGAAATGATTTTCAGTAACCCATGCTTGTCGCAAGAGGCGACTAACGGGATCGGGTGGTCAGACTCGCTGGCTTTGTTGACACGTCATCGTATCACAATTAGATCGATGCTCAAGCTGTCGAGCACTGGATTGTCTGGTCCAGACTCGATTATTTACAGACCGCCGCCATATGGCTGGAATATTGCTGAGTGCGGCGTAAAACAACAAATCAAGTAACCTAGGGCATTGAAGTGTGCTGTATCAGCTATCATATATTTGCTCTCCTAAAGATTTGTAACATCAGTTGACTTCTTTATTAAACATTATGTTTGAATGTTTGTTTATTCGTTGCTAGGTTACCATACTGTACTAAGCTTACCTCACTCAGCTGTATGGGCATGGAAAATAAGTATAACGAACGGCAAAATTGTTTGATGGGCATTCCAGAAGTTGGTGACTCAAAGATGAAACATACAACTTTATGGATGACAACTTCTTATTTATTGCATAGAGCGACGTTTTGATGTAGATTCTTACATCGTTATCAAGCTAAAAGTGAATACAACCAGATGTAGAGGGGAATATATACACAGAATGTTTTGACAACAGCAGATTAACATTAACAACAACATGTAATTGAATAACAACTGGTACATAATTATGAGAGGCCAGTGGGAGACTAAGAACAAC